TGTTCAGCACACGTTTCATAACACCACACAATTGCTTGTGTCGCGGGTCCAACCCTGAGGAGTACCCAGACAGCCCCTTGTTCGCCTTAGTACTTTTCGGAATATGCCCCTTGTGATCTTGTGCTCGTGGAGAACTCTGATGAGTCCTTCCTGCTGGACAACGAGGCAGGTTCTTGTGATAGTAGATACGCCCGCACCATGCACCTCACAAACAGCGGTCTGCAACATTTGGTACATACCAGTGCTTGTGCGGGTATGACGGCGGACTTGGTGGTCTTGTGGTTGGCACTGTGGTTCTTGTCAATCCAGTCGTGTATTCAATCGCGGTTTTGCCAGTTGCTTTGTCGTGTTTGTTGTTGATGGCGATGCTGCCACCACGGTGTTTTGGAGTGTGGTTGGCACATAGCTTGTTAGTTGCCGGTGGTTGCCAGTTGATTCTTGGTTGGTGTTTTTTCTGTTGGGTTCTGTTAGGTTCTGTTTGTTTTGTTTTGTTTTGCGTTGCCCCTTGGCCATGCTTTGCTGCCATCAGGCCTTGTACGACATTTGCTTCCGCACACTGAAGCTGACAACGCCAACTTACGGCGACCTCAACCACTTGGTCTCAGCAGCCATGTCCGGGGTGACTTGTTGCTTGCGCTTCCCCGGACAGCTGAACTGCGACCTGCGCAAGATTGCCGTGAACTTGGTGCCGTTCCCGCGGCTGCACTTCTTCATGACCGGCTTCGCACCGCTGACCTCCCGCGGGTCGCAGCAGTACCGTGCTCTGACGGTGCCTGAGCTGACTCAGCAGATGTTTGATGCCAAGAACATGATGTGCGCGGCAGATCCCCGTCACGGGCGCTACTTGACGGCCGCAGCGCTGTTCCGGGGCCGCATGTCCACAAAGGAAGTAGATGAGCAGATGCTTAACGTGCAGAACAAGCGTCTTGGCGAGTAATGAGTAATTGGTAATCACGAGGCTGCAGTGGATGGCACGTACGTTGATCGTATAACATTTAGCAACGTGGCTCGCATTGGCATTCTGAACCATGCGTAAACCCATTGGCAGGAACTCGTCCTACTTTTGATCGTATAACATTTAGCAACGTGGCTCGCATTGGCATTCTGAACCATGCGTAAACCCATTGGCAGGAACTCGTCCTACTTTGTGGAGTGGATCCCGAACAACATCAAGGCATCGGTCTGCGACATCCCGCCGAAGGGCTTGAAGATGGCGGTCTCCTTTGCCGGGAATTCCACCGCCATCCAGGAGATGTTCAAGAGGGTTGCGGAGTACTTCACCGCTATGTTCCGCCGCAAGGCATTCCTGCACTGGTACACTGGTGAGGGCATGGATGAGATGGAATTCACAGAGGCCGAGTCCAACATGAACGACCTGGTGTCTGAGTACCAGCAGTACCAGGATGCCACAGCGGAGGAGGAAGGTGAATTCGATGAAGAGGAAGGCGAATACGATGGCTAGAGCCAACTGTTTCCACCACATTTGCTCAGAGGGGCCCGTGTTGAAAGCATCATGGTATCCCTGAGCAGCTTGGTGCACATTCAAGATGTGTTTCTTGAAGGTGAACGCCGGGCATCCAAACTGGAGGGAATCAAAAGATGCGTCGGCTGGTGGGTATATTGGTTTGTCTCCGAATCTGGGTGCCCCACACCGATTGACTTACCTTTGTTTGCCAAAAACAGAGCACGAAGCCAGGTTACAATCGCCCACCAAAAGTCACCAACTGGGGTTAAGCCGCTACTCTTCGCGAGCAACTGCGCTTCTCTTTAACAGCTGCCACGTGGACAACTTTGGCCGTCAGCACAGGGGTGATCTTTTGAGGGGCATGGCGTTGTTTTTGCACGGCGCATGTTAGTAAGAGCCAACATTTCAAATATATTATCAGGTATGCCACCTGAAACTCACTCTGACAGGGGTAAGGACAATTAAAACCGATTCCACATGGATGAGAGGTGTCTCTGTTTCACATTGATTCCAAAGTGCGTCCTTCAAACTTGCGAGGTTTGCCACCGCAAAAAAAAACCGCAGATGTGGCAAATTCTTCGAGTGAGGTTCGGGAGTACATCTTGGCGCTTGAACCTGGCGTCCTTTGGGTTTGAGAGGTTTGTAGTTGGTTCAGTCGGTTCAGTGGTTGGATTTCCCCATGTAACACACCAAAGGTTAAACTTTCGCGGATCAGAACACTTTGGCCGTGGCTTATTTGAAGCTCGTTCCGTCTCAAGACCGATCGGCACGTTAGTGATCGGCGCGTCTGACTGATCTTCTCCTTTGGGTTCTGTGGGATCAAACTTGCGTGTCTTCTTTTTCCTTTTTCCGCGCGGGCGCTCGTGCAAAGCTGTGGCTCAAGCCTTTGTTGCTCTCATCAGTGCTTCCCCGGCCTTCGCTAGCCAAGATGCGTGAGCTTGTGCACGTGCAGGGTGGACAGTGCCTTTGCTGCTATTTGTGCATTCAATGTCTTAGTTGCCTTGCTGTGCAATAGACAAACGTGTTGCATACCGCATACCCTCCCACCAAGTACCACGGATCCTGAAAGACAATTTTTCTCTTAAGCTACACACATATGAAGCTATGTTCACGATTAACTGTGTCTGCCGTCGATTTCTGTTTGCTTCCCAGTAGAAAACCATCCCTAAATGGGGTCCAAGGTTTGACGTCTGGGCACTTGGTTCTTTGCTTGGGCGTCAAGCGCTGCAGGTGCGGCAACCAGATTGGTGCGAAGTTCTGGGAGGTCATCGCAGACGAGCACGGCATCGACCCCACAGGCCAACGAGGGTCGTTTGAGCGATCCGAAGCCCCGAAGAACGCGGGCAAGTTGCGTGAGGGGATGGGATTGTAGTTGGGCCTGCATAAAGCTTTCGGCCATCTTGTGTTTCGAACCAAACACCTCGGGTCTGGGGATTCCGCCACCAAAATCCGCGGTCAAATGGCCTAGTCTCGAAGGGAAGACATCAATTTTCAGGATGGAAGAACCCAAGGTTCTCGAACTCCTCACCTCCCACCCCCCTCCAATCTTCAAGCCGCCTTGGCACCCCCAGATGCTTGGGAGCTAGGCATGCGGCAGAGGCTGGGCAGAGGCTTTCGTGTTTTGGTCTGGCTGATTGAACATGTTAACCGGTCGGGCGACCCTTTTCCGGCCGGCCCTTAGGTGGGAACCCAAGGGACACCAACCAGTCTGCGGGGTCCTCGTCGAGCTTTGCTGATTGCAATCGCCACAGGTACCTACCACGGGGATTCTGACTTGCAGCTGGAGCGGACCCTCGCCTTGGCAAAGCGCTTGTGGAATGGGAATCCGGCACCTTCACACCGCTCTCCAAATGGCTCTTGGGGTATGATTGCTGCCATTGGTGCTTAGTGATGGTCACGTGATTGTTGCTGTTAACCTTGATTTGATGCGGGCTGGCGTCAGCCGAAGAAGGCAGGCAATTCAGCAATGCCACGGTGGTCCATGCTGCATATTTGCACGATTGCCTTTTGCCAACCGCACCTGCTGCCAGTGCGAGGGTCAGTGCAACACTTTGGCTTGTGTCAGGGCTCTTTGCATCTCCTCACAAGTTGAACATTGCAATTTCCTGTCGTTGAAATCATGTCCTCCTTTCATATGACCCTTGTAGATCTTACGCCTCGTCCTGCAGGTGCCGTGCCAAGATCGTAGCCTAAACTCCCATCAAATGTACGGGTGCCACGGGTTTGCTACATTCCACAGTGGCGATGCTGGATGGAGGGAAGACGAGTTGTCAAGCAGCTGGATGTGGAATGTGAACGTTTTCAAACTGTTTGTCATTCTTAGCTGCCAGGTTTACCTCTCTGCCACCTTTTACTCTTAATAATTCTTTCTTGACGGTCAAAGGCAATGGGCATGATCGCAGCGGGTCGCAATTCGGTCAACTGAACTCTTCTTTTTTAATCATGTGAGCCACAATCAAAACCCGGGTAAGTGAAGGTTAGTAAGGGACGATCCCAGCCAGAAATAGCTGCGGTTGCCTTCTTAGTTCTTTACATGGTTCTGGTTCGACCATTTTTTGTACCGGGTTTTGATTGTGACTCATGTGCTGCTTGTGTCTTGGTTTCTCGTCCTTCGGTTTTCTGCATGTTCAGCAGAACACCGGCTGCCCGCGTTTGTTTCTTTAAGCAGCCGCAGGCCGCAGGCGACTCGAACGCGTCCACTACACGACCCCACAAAAAGGAAAAGCCGACTAAGGATTTGGTTTGCAGAGCAGCATAGCATTGCAAGCAAGACGTGCCAAGGCAACACGCACACATATATATATATATATATGTACAATATGTATAAAAATACACATACGCAATATACACATATTTCGACACACACACACACACAAGCATGACATTTCGAGTTTCCGGTTTTTTCAGCTCCTCTCCTCTCTTCACACGGATTGCTTGCTTAGGATCAACGTCTACTTCAACGAGGCAACTGGTGGCCGCTATGTGCCCCGTGCCGTGCTGATGGACCTGGACGCCTGGCGGCACGATTTGAAACTGAATGAGCTACTTCTAATTGTGAAGGTTCATATTATCAGTCAATTTTTGACTGGGACCTCTTCAAAAGCCTATTGACTGTTCAGAGCCTGCTAAGAACGTCACATGAGCGCTAGTTAGGGTCCCTTACTCCGCAGATTAAGATGGAGCCCGTTTTTAAAACCATTTGTGGAAGGAAGCTCTTGTTTGGTCTGGTCCGCACCACGCGTGGTTAGCGCTGCATGTGCGTGCGACCCATCATGTTCACGTTCCGCGGGATTACAATCCCGTTTTGCCTGAGCCCATAGTTATTGCTTTACCTCTAGGCGGATCAGAGCTCGGACTGAGAGATTTGGCCATGGGGCATAACCTACTGTGGATGGACAAAATTGTGCACCACTTGGAAACCATGTGAACTGTTGTTTGTTGGTATTTGCAGGGGCGTCATCATTCTAAGGTTTGTTTGGTTTTGCAGGATTCTGGCCATCCACAGTATGGATCCATTTTGGGGTGGATGAACATCCATTTGGCACCTATTTTGATGTTCACCACGGGTACAGGGTTTTGACCCACAGCCAGTTGACCTCCAAATTCATCTTGATTTACCAAACGGGCAGGCGCCGCGGTATGTTGGATGAATCGGACCTTTTCCTCAACCCCCGGGCAGGTTGGAGAAGCCAGAATTTCAAGTAAACCCTAATTGGTGGTTTGGGATTTGAAGCCCTTCTTCCTGTAGAGGGCAATTGTGAAACCCCTCCCCAACCACCCAACCGCCAATCCAAACCGCCAAAATTGGAGGGGACCTGAAGCAACTACAATGCAATGCATCTTCCTGAGGAGCCGGGGACCATGGACAGCGTGCGCGCGGGGCCCTTCGGCCAGCTCTTCCGCCCGGACAACTTTGTCTTCGGACAGACCGGTGCCGGCAACAACTGGGCCAAGGCGCGGGCCCTGGAAGCGGGGTCTGTTTGCTGTGTTCGGGTCCGGAGCGTCTTGGCCTTTTCTCGGCTTTCCAAGGGAAACCCACAAAACGAGAGTCTCCCAGCTTCCCCTGGAAGCAGGGGTGATTGTGTTGCCCTTTTTCCGAAAGATCCATGTGAGTTTCAGGGCATGGCTTGACTGGTTTGAGCAGGACATAAAATGACCCAGGGAATGTGCTTGGCCTCGGCTACACCTGCTTACCAAGAGCTTGCTGGGTGGACCACCCACATAATTAGCCTCTGGCGACCCCTGGCTTCGAAACTCTGTTTTTTTTTGGGGTGAACTGGAATTTGAGAAGCAGTCCGGCAGTCCGAACATTGGACACGGACCCCCCTTTTTATGGATTTGGAGGATTTTTCAACCATGCCTGAAAGCATTCAGGGCCACTACACGGAAGGGGCCGAGCTCATCGACTCGGTGCTTGACGTTGTGCGCTGCTTGGCTCTGGTGGGCGCTCGACGTATTTGATTTGAGCCAAAGAGCGGCAGAATTGCCCGGGCACGGGAAATGCACACCCTTTCCACATGATTGGTTTTAAAGGAAGACTTCTCACGAGCGGAAGCCCCGGTTGCAAGATGGCTAAGAGTCATACTTTTTCAGAAGTGCGACAGGCTCAAGTGGCAAGTGGCTGAAGAGTCGAAGACGATTTGCAGTGTCCCATATGCATCTTCAGCTGCTTTTGGGGAATGGTCACGTCTTTGATGGTGGCCCATACATCCACTCAGGCCTGGTTGAACAGAGTTTTGCCGGACGACAGCGTGGGTGGCCGCACACGCTCTGACACCTTCAAGGCTGTTCGCAGTTTGGACGCCATCTCCACAAGAAGGATGGCATGGCTTGCACGCTCGATCTGGAATTTAGCTCACTTTGGCCCTTCAGTGCTTGCAACGCACAGGCTAAATGCTGCGCGATAGCGCGGGCCGGAGCGCTAAGCACCAGGTTGAAGGCAAGGGGGATATCGCTGTTTTGCGGTGGAACCAATTCCTCCTACCCAGACATGTGCCACTGCGGCCCCAAGCCGCGCGAAAGCCTGAGCCAGCCTGACACGGCATTGTTGCTGCGCACAGTCACGACGGCCGAGCTGTTGCAGGCAGGCAGCACCATCATCGATCTGATGCAGAAGAAGTGGTCCACGGACGACGCATTCCACGAGCGCCACAGCAGCATGGGCGACCTAGACGCAGCGCCTGGGTGTGCAGGAGAATGCGGCCAAGAAGAAGCTCAGCCCAGGTCAGAGACGAGCAGGGACATCTTGAAGTTGGCCAACTCTGCGAAGACGAGGATTTTGAGGGAAGGCAGACCGAGAAACCGTGCAGACTTGGAAGCAGTTGAGCAGGGCAGGAGGATTGCCTTGTACAAGGGCTCCAAGGTCAGACGCACGTTGCGGTGCCACACATTTGCCAAGGCGATGTGGGGGAGCTGCTTCAAACTGCCCAGCGCAAAGAGCTAGCCTTGGAAGACTTCAGTTTGCAGTTGGCAAGAAAGCCACCTTTTGCCACACCTCTAGACGCAGCTCTTGGAGGGCCACAGCGTTGGCTAGTGGGTGTTTCTGAGAAGGTGCGGTGTGAGCAAAAGCCCCAACGGACGCACGATACGGAGTCAAGAAACCAAAGCCAGGACCGCTGCAAGATCCCTTCTTGTTCGCACAGGCCGGGCGGCGCGGCAAGCTGCTCCCACCATGACGGCGCGCCCATGACTGGAAGTGTCCACGCCCATGCTGCGGGCGATCTTGCAGCCGCCTCGTCGTAGCTTGCGCCTGACACGGCCTGCGCGTCCCTCCGAAATCGAATCCAGCAATTCGTTGAACTTGATCTAATGGTTCCAGCTCATCGACTCACTGCCTGACGTTGTGCGTAGCTTGGCTCTGCGGGGTGCGCGCTGAGCGTACCTTGTTCAAGTGTTTCTAGTGGCATGAGCGTAGCGGTGCCATTTGATAAACCACCAATATGTGCCAAAATGGCTTGCCACTTTGGCTCATGCTGGTTACCGTGAAAAACAAAACGTTCTGTTGCCTATCCTTCCCTGGTCTGGACGCAGTGCCGTGTCGCAAACGCAGCCCCGCCTGGCAGAGCCAAAGCAGCGCGCCATGTCAGGCGCTAGAAACGGCCTCAACAAGGCGCGCCCTTCTGCTGCCTCACTCCATCCTCTCCATCAGAGCCTTCTGAACATTAGGGAACATGAGCTCGGGCAGGTCTCAGATATCCATGCCTGGGCAAGTATATGGCTTTTTAGTTTGAATGAAATATGCGTTTACCCGGTTGGTCGGCACCAAGATCGGTGGATGTGGTCAGTTCTCCATTGTGATTTGAGTCAAACAATTTTGGCTTTGTTTTTGGAAGGAATGAAATTGGACCACATCCATGCGCAACTCATGAGATGTGTTTTCAATGAACAAGAACGGCGCCATATCCCCCCGCCCCCCCGACCCCCCCCCCCCCCTCCTGTAGCGCAAATAGGGATCAAAGGATACTGATACATTCCCAAGAAGTCAGAATGACAAGGCGCGGAGACTGATGTCTCTTTTATGGCTGTGCAGCCGCTCTTTGTGAGAATGTGGGTTAAGCCACTTGCGGACTGCACACGCAAAAAAAATATCAAGCTGTGACATTCACATGCCGTACAAAATATGATTCAAGGGATTCCTACATTGCTGCAAGGGTCAATCATGCACAATTCAACACCCCCTGCACCGATCTTGGTCCCGACGCATACCTTCTTTTGCTTTCACAGTCACACACCCAAACGATTGAACAGTTTATGCGTTCTTTTGTTATTGACGGCTCGGATTTTCTGGCATTAAGTGTTTCAGTTTCTTTGGGCAAGTCTTTTGGGAAGGAGATATACAGTCGATCGGCGTGTTAAGTAAGACTGTTGGAGGGGGACAACTAATCGTGCAGTTAATCCAAAGTCTTGGCAGGAAGGGTTAAACACTTCTGCGGAGGGGGGTTTGGAGCTTGATGCGTTTGGGGGCCTGCGCACGTGTGCGCGTGTGCGTGTTGGTGCGTGCGTGCGTGCGTGTGTTTGCGTGCTCGATGGGAGGCAGCGGGGACCTTCCCAACCAAAAGTAGGCCGCCGCCTTTGTGATCCTTGGCCTGTTGACGTAGTTAAGGTTGATTCCCTGAATATTGCAAGCCAACTACTGGCCCTGTCATCCCCAAACAGAAAACGAAACCCAAAGTGTTTTGAAGTTATGCCTGATGCGTGCAAATAGTTCTACTCGCAATTTCCACTTTGGGCAGTGGTTCGGGGACCGGAACCTCTGAGATGCCGAGGAAAGGAGGCCGAGGGCTGCGACTGCCTGCAGGGATTCCAGCTGTGCCATTCCCTTGGTGGAGGCACGGGCGCGGGCATGGGCACCTTGCTGATCTCCAAGGTGCGCGAGGAGCGGTGGTCCAGCATTCCAAACCAGCCCAAACCACCAACGGGGAATAGGGCAACAGTAAGGTCTCTGGTTGCTGCTCGATAGAAGTGGGACTGTGACTGGAATGGTCTAACCGAGCAACAGCGTTGGAACCGTTCAGACGGGTTGATGACGGAAGCTTATGTCGTACATGGTTGCATTTCATTTGCCTAGATTTGAAGCAAAGAATGCAGTATACATATCCAACGCACAGGGCCTGCCTTGAATCATGCTACCGTCGCAGTGTCTTTATATGTTGCGGTTCGATATGAGATGTGCCTTTCTAGCAGCGGGTCCAACCCTGAGGAGTATCCAGACAGCGGCTTGCTTGTGTCCGTACTTTTTCTTGATATGGGCGTGTCTTAAATTAGGGGGCCCCAGATTTTCCTTCAAAACACCGCACAAATGGGTACCCTCAAAACCGACACACCCACATACCTGGTGATCTTGACATGTCAAGGCGGCAGTGTTGGACATAGACAGCTAAGGAATCATGGAGACGTTCTCTGTGATTCCCTCGCCCAAAGTGTCCGACACCGTTGTGGAGCCCTACAATGCTGTGCTCAGCTTCCATCAGCTCGTGGAGAATTCTGACGAGTCCTTCCTGCTGGACAACGAGGCAGGTCCTTGCACGACCCGCGGGCTGTTCATGCTACTTGTGCGTGATGCGCATCACAAAGAACAGCTCAGTTTGATGCATTTGTCTGTGCTTGCATTTGCTCAGTACACACTCGCAGCGTAAAACAGCGTTAAAGTTGATCTGTCCTGTGTCCCTGCCGCTTCCGGACATTGGAAGCCCACTTTGTCAACATGGTTGCCGTTGCAGTGGTGCTCATGGCAGTGGGGCTGTTGGCAGTTGTTTTTGCCGTGTTTGCTATTGTTAGCAAAGCTGTGGTTGTACTGGTCATTTTGGACCACGCGCTTTGTTAGTTGTAGGTGGCAGTTTGTTTCTCCTACTGCCCAACTTTCACACCTTGCCAGGCCTTGTACGACATTTGCTTCCGCACGCTGAAGCTGACAACACCAACTTACGGCGACCTCAACCACTTGGTCTCAGCAGCCATGTCCGGGGTGACTTGTTGCTTGCGCTTCCCCGGACAGCTGAACTGCGACCTGCGCAAGATTGCCGTGAACTTGGTGCCGTTCCCGCGGCTGCACTTCTTCATGACCGGCTTCGCACCGCTGACCTCCCGCGGGTCGCAGCAGTACCGTGCTCTGACGGTGCCTGAGCTGACTCAGCAGATGTTTGATGCCAAGAACATGATGTGCGCGGCAGATCCCCGTCACGGGCGCTACTTGACGGCCGCAGCGCTGTTCCGGGGCCGCATGTCAACAAAGGAAGTAGATGAGCAGATGCTCAACGTGCAGAACAAGCGTCTCGGCGAGTAATTGGCAATCACGCAGTGGTTGCTAATCACGTCGATCGTATGATATTAGCAACATGGCTTGTACGGGCATTCCGAACCATGCATACACCCATTGGCAGGAACTCGTCCTACTTTGTGGAGTGGATCCCGAACAACATCAAGGCATCGGTCTGCGACATCCCGCCGAAGGGCTTGAAGATGGCGGTCTCCTTTGCCGGGAATTCCACCGCCATCCAGGAGATGTTCAAGAGGGTTGCGGAGTACTTCACTGCCATGTTCCGCCGCAAGGCATTCCTGCACTGGTACACCGGCGAGGGCATGGATGAGATGGAATTCACGGAGGCCGAGTCCAACATGAACGACCTGGTCTCTGAGTACCAGCAGTACCAGGATGCCACGGCGGAGGAGGAAGGTGAGTTCGATGAAGAGGAGGGTGAGTACGATGGCTAGAGCCAAAGTGTTTCCACCACGTTGCATTTGCTCTGATGGGCCCGTGTGAAAGCATCATGGTATCCCGCTGAGCAGCTTGGTGCACTTTCAAGGAACACGTCTTGAAGGTGGACGCCGGGCAACTGAAATTGGGGGAATCAAAAGAGCTGGCTGCTGGGTTTCTTAGTTCAGGAAAGCGCCAGACTGGGGCACTGATCGGATCTTGCAGCCCTCCTCCCCTTCTCCCCTCATCCCCTCATCCCCTCACTCACCCCTCATCCCCTCATCCCCTCATCCCCTCTTCCCCTCTTCCCCTCTTCCCCTCATCCTATAAGCAACTCACGAAATGGCTGGCAGCCAGAGCCCACCCAAAATTCCTACAAAACATCAGGGACCGAGCCAATCATCCTACGTGCGTCAAGGAATCCCCACGAGCGCTTTTTTTGGCGCATTGGCGCCGTATTGGGTTGGACATTTGTGGTTTTCCCTGTGGGCCGATTGCCCTGTTGCGTAAAAGTTGGATGAAGTGCGGAACATATTTTCAACAAGGTACCTGCTGGGAGGTTGGGTGTTCTACAAGACCTGTTATTTTATTGTTTCTGAGTGTGTTTTTGGTCTGTCTCCAGATTTTAGGGCTTCTCGTATTTCCTCAAGCATAGAAGAGGCAAGCTCTGCGTCGCCTACCCAGTTCGCCGAGGTCGGCACCGGGTTTGGCTGTTTTGGCATCTAGAAAGTAGCCAGCACCATGACTTAGCTTCCGGCCAGCAGCCAATGGGTCTATGCTTGTTCGGGGTGACATGTTTTGAGTTCTCAAGGCAAACCAAAGCTACCATTTCAGGGTTCCCTTATGTGGCTGTGGTTGTCAAAACCGTTTTGAATCCCATTTTGGTTGGTAGGTGAATTCACCACCCATTTTAGATAGCCTATTTTAGGGGTTGGATTGAATCGGATGTTATCGCTGTTAGAGGAATCTCCTCTCACATGACCCCCTGGCAATCGGTTCCATGTAGAACTTCCAGGAGCAAACTTGGTTATGAACCACATCCAAGGGCCCCCCGGTTTTGTTGACCCTGGCAAAAACGTTTTTTCATCGGTCCGAGAAATATGTCCGTCTTTCTGAGTTGGTGCGAATCGGTGCAGGAGCAAAGAGGACGAAAGGGCTAGGTTTGGGGAATGGCCCCCGCTCTTCGGGGCAGAAGACCATCCATGTCTTGCCGTGCCTGATGCGAGCAGAAATGGCAATGGCAGAGGCCTCTCACGTTTTCCATTGGGTTCTCTGGGTTGGCCAGAGGTCCTTTTTTGTTTTTCTTCCAGAGGAGGTGTGCAAGGTGTGGCTCAAGCCTTTGTTGCTCCCTTCGTTGCTAGCCTTTCGCTACCCAAGATGCGTGAGCTCGTGCACGTGCAGGCTGGACAGTGCCTTTGCTGCAATTCACTTTCTTGAGGCCTCTAAAATGTTGCACAACCTCTCACCAACATGGAACGTGACGAGGGGAGGTTCCTTTAAGAAAGCATGCCTCTTCACACACCACGCATGCGAAGATAGAGGCAGTCTGAAAGCCGGCTGGGTCCCTTCTGTTAGTTGTCCCTTTTTTTCTTTAGACAACTATCCCTTGAGGGCAGCTAGGTGGCTTTGACACGCATACGGTTCTGTTCCTGGCTGTCAGCACTGCAGGTGCGGCAACCAGATTGGCGCGAAGTTCTGGGAGGTGATTGCGGACGAGCACGGCATTGACCCCACAGGCAAACCTTTGCCCACATGCTGGGAGAGTTCCCAAAGGTATGAGCAGAGACCCATAACCCATGTAAGATTGGGCCATTGTAGTAGGCTACGTGCAGATATTTCATGCTGAGTTAAGCTGCACTTGCCCGGCCGCGATGCCTTTGGCTAACGTCACCTTGGGTTACGACCTGATTTCACGTTGGGTTAAACCAAAAGTGTGGATTCACACTAGTAGACTTTTTGAACACAAGTTCCAGCATTGTCCGCCCCAACATTGAGCTGGAATTTCGACTTACGGCCGACGAACCTTCGCACGATCCACAGGCACCTACCATGGCGACTCCGACTTGCAGTTGGAGCGGACCCTCGCCTTGCAGTTAGCAAAGCGCTTGTGGAATGGGTATCCAGAACCTGTCAAAGGAAGGGGCCATTTGGTATGTTGACCTTGACGCGGACGGGCGTCACCAATCACTTAGAGGTTCTCATATGTGTCCTTTTTGGAACGGCAATCCAGTTGTGGTCATTCAAAAGGATATTTGCTTCCATGATTGGGGAGAAGGGTAGTAAGTCTCGCATTCCAGGTCCAAACTACAGGTGGAATGGTTTTGTGAAATTGCAGTGGCGAGCACATCAGACTGAGGGGGTACGAGCGGTCGAGCATGTGGACCTGATATCGGAAAGTCTCTAGAACACGCATCGTCCCTGGCTGCCAGATACCCCTTAAGCTTTCGACTGGTCGGTTTGGTTCCTTTGGCCGTCAGACACAACGGCACGCTTCCAAGATTCTGGCGGCCTTACCTCACTTCACCGTCTAAAGCAATAAGCAACAGCAAACGTGTCTTGGTTCGAAGCAACAAGAGCATTGAAAAAAAACACGCAACGCCAACATCGCTCACTTATATGTATATATATATATGACATATATATATATATATGCATATGACATATATATATATATATATATTTCTGCATATGATATATATATATATATATGCAATACATGCATGTGAATATATATATATATATATGTATATATATATATATACATGTAACTGTTTATTATGCCCGTACCGTACATACATATATATATATATTACATATCATAAATATATACATGTACACACGTACACATACATATATGCACACGTGATTTGTGTTTCCTTGAGCCTCTCCACCCTTCCACCCCCTAATAGCCACTTAGACACCCCATGACACCCCTTTTCAAGTGTCTCCCAAGGATCAACGTCTACTTCAACGAGGCAACTGGTGGTCGCTATGTGCCCCGTGCCGTGCTCATGGACCTGGACGCCCGGCGTAGAAGGCCCCTGCCCTGCTGGTCCCCTCCCTGCTTCTCAACCCGGGTTGAAGCAGTCAATCATAGACAGCAAAACGACATAAGAATGGTAATAGTAACTTGGCGGTTCAGGAGCCATCCGGCTCCTGAGCTTTTTAGCTTTTTAGCTGTTTTGGGTTTCGTGGTAGTTTCCATTTAGCCCACTAAAAGGTTAAACTCTTAGCAGGAATCTGAGGACAGCCCAGACAATAATAATGCTACTCATTACAGAAGGGGCCGCCATGGGGCCTGTGTTTTTGCAATTAGGCTTTTTTACACCTTGGCATACTGGCGCGTGCTGTGTTTGAGGCCACCCACTCAGGTATTCTCCAAGGATTCCAGCTGTAATGCCTGCAAGTATTCCCCGGCATTCCCTTAGTAGTATCCAAGTATTGCACTAATGTTGCCCTAAAATTCCTTTAGCATTTTCTTGGTATATCCCTAGTATTCGCTCAGTACTCTTCTAATATTCCCTCAATATTCTCCAAGAACTTCCTTGGTGATGCCCTGACACGTTTCCAGTATTCAGTATCGTGTATCCCCCTATTATTCATGTGGTGTTCTCTTAGTATACCCTCTAATCTCCTCAGTGTACCCTCGGTATCCCCTCAATATTCCCTCAGTATTGTTCTCAGCATTCTTTTTGTGTTCTCCAGTATTACCCTAAATTTGCCCAGTGTTCCTGTAGTATTTTATGACCAAGCAAGGGGCTAACAGGAAACTACTTGGGGAATAATGGGAGGATACTTTGAGAATACTTGGGATAGGAGAATACTCAGAGACTATTGGGGGTCTTGGTGTGCCCTCTAGTTACCCTCAATGTTCCCCTTGCATTCCCTTAACCATCCCCAAGTAGCCCTTCAGCATTCCCTTAGTATTTTCCTAGTATTTTCCCATAGTGCTTCCCTAGTATTGGCCTATCATTCACCTTCATTCCTCTAATATATTCCTATTCCTTCAGCATTATCCCACCCCCAGTAATTGTATTGTTCTAGCATCCTGTAACATTCCCTCGTATTCCTTAGTATATTCTCGGTATACCCCTAAATTTTCCCAGCATTCCCCTAGTATTCTCCTAGCATTCTCCTAGTCTTCCCTTTGTATTCCCCCCTGGTATTCCATTATTCCAGGGTGTGTTCCTTGTATTCATTTGTTTATCTTAGTATTCCGTTGGTATTCCCTTGCTATTCCGAGTGAATTCCTCTATTACTCCTGTAAAACTTCCCCCAGCATTCCCATATTCCTTTCATACTCTTCTACCCCTAGTGTTCCTCAGCACTTCCCCCGTATTCCCCAAGTATTTCCCTCAGTATTTCCCTGCTATGTTCCGGGCATTCACTCTTAATACTTCCCAAGCATTATTTTTAGTATTCCCCTAGTATCTCCCTATTCCTTCAGCTTTTTTTACCCCTAGTACTTGCATTCTGTGAGAATTCCCCTGGTACTGCCCTAGTTTTCCTAAAAATATATTCTTGGTATACCCCTAGTAGTCTCCCAGTAATCCCATAGTATTCTCCCAGCCTTCCCTTTGCATTTTCCCTGGGTAGGTTGAGTGCCTGAGCTTTTGTCTCCAGATTGTTTTTTGGTGTCATTGTTTTTTTTTGGATTTCCTCGAAGAAAGCCAAAAAAAGACAAAGAACCACAATCCTGAGGGGGAAATGAAAGGAGATGACTTGCCTGAGCTTTGTCTGCCAGATCCTTGCTCATTTGTTTTCATCATTTTACGGCTGATTGCAAAAACGCAGGCCCCATGGCGGCCCCTTCTGTAATGATATAGTAATAATGATAGTCTTAATTATAATGATAGTAAGAATCACCGTCATCATCACAATGGTTCACATTAAGGAGCCGGGGACCATGGACAGCGTCCGCGCGGGGCCCTTCGGCCAGCTCTTCCGCCCCGACAACTTTGTCTTCGGACAGACCGGGGCAGGCAACAACTGGGCGAAGGCAGGGCCCTAGTGAAGCGTTGGCTTATGCGTTCATGGCGTCAACTGAACTTTGGTCAACTGGTGCAATCTTTGAGCATCTAACAACCCCAATCATAGCTTCCTAGCATGAAAGGTGAGTATCCCATGGTGGGGGTGATGTTTTAAGGGGAAATACAGGGAGCCCTGTGGTTATCACATTTGGGTCTTCGGCGCAGGTAGAAAGTGATTAACAACTTGGGGTCTTTCATCCCCAAGTAGCAAGGTAAACCCCACTTAGGGGACTTTAAGTGGGTTTTAAGCTAGGTTACCAACAGCTTGCTTACTTGGCCTAACACCCCAGTAACATATGGCCTTACCACACACGCGGAATTCAACCTTTCTTTGAGGATATCCCTTGTTGTTTTTAAAGGACAACCAGAAGGACAACTTCATCAGGTGCTTCCAGGGACCAACATGAGAATTGCGTGTGTTGTGTTTTAGAGGACCCGCACCATGGGTTCGGTGTTGCTTTTGGTTTCTCTTTTAACACCAGCCCAACAAGGGATACCCTCAAAACAACACGCTCTAATACAATAAAATCACGCATATCTGCATTGAAGAAGGGTCTCTTTTGATGTTTTGAAAGGAAACCACAAGAAGCACGCTGCCATTTTGGGTCGCGACAACTGGGCGGAGGGCGGAAGTTTGTTCTTTCAAGACTACGGTAGGGGCAGAATGAAGGGTTCAATGCGTAGGATTCGTTTTCAAGAAACAATGGCAAGGCGAGAACTTTGAGGGATGTGGTATAGATTTCCCTTCAAGCAAGCAATTGAAACCTCATTGTGTTGCGATTTGTGGAATTCCGAGCTGTAGTTGTTAACCTCATTGTTCCGAGAACTGGTTTTAACTTCATTTGCTGGTCGCCAATTTTCAGTGTGTTGGCTTGAGCCTCACTTTGTGGTGGCCAACTTGGAAGGGCGAAGTGCGAGGGTCTAAAGTGACAGAATAGCAGCACCGGCGAAACGGTTTTTTGCGGTTGGCGTGATTTTGGTTGAGTGGCTCATTTTGCCAAAAAGGAAGCACCGACCAGAAAGAGAATGCCCAACTCAATTTCGCAGCAGTTTGTCACCAGATTTTGGGCAGGTCACTTGCACTTGTGAGGGTCAGTCTGCCGCAGCCTGAAGGTCATGATCCCTGAAAACAGAAAGTAGGGGGTGTCCTGAAAATGAGCACCTGACAGTTTTGTAGGCCCTTGTCGGTTTTGCAGCTTGGTGTCGGCCAACGGGCAGTCCCCTTCCAGTTTTTGGGGGCCATATTGCGGGGTGCTCACGTGCGTCTGTCTCTTTTGGAGGATACTTCTTGCTTGGTCTTTCGAATGGAAGACCAGAAGCATTTTGGGGGGTTCCCCGAACAAAAGCCTAAGCACATCAGGGCCACTACACGGAAGGGGCCGAGCTCATCGACTCAGTGCTCGACGTGGTGCGCCGCTCTGGCTATGTCCGCTTGCTTTTGAAGCAAGGGAAATGGGATACCTTCAAAAAAGACCCATATATCATATATGTGTCAAAGAAAGGCTATTTTTCGAGTTTCCATTTTGGGCAGTGGCTGGCGGTAGCGGAACTCCCATGAAGCTATGCCGAGGAAAGGAGGCCGAGGGCTGCGACTGCCTGCAGGGCTTCCAGCTGTGCCATTCCCTTGGCGGAGGCACGGGCGCGGGCATGGGCACCTTGCTGATCTCCAAGGTGCGCGAGGAGCGGTGGCATCCCAAACCAATCCAAAGCACAATTTCCGGGGGTTTGGCTGCCGAACATGAGCCAATCTTGGCTTTAACATGCGACTGGTATCAATCCCGAGGAGTATCCAGACAGCCGCTTGCTTTAATTTGTAAACCCTTTGAGATGTTGACTTGTCAAAGCCGCAGCGTTAGATTTAGATAGACAGCTAAGGAATCATGGAGACGTTCTCGGTGATTCCCTCGCCCAAAGTGTCCGACACCGTCGTGGAGCCCTACAATGCCGTGCTCAGCTTCCATCAGCTCGTGGAGAACTCTGACGAGTCCTTCCTGCTGGACAACGAGGCAGGCCCTTGCACGAGCAGGTGACTGTTGATGATAGGCACCTTGGGGCCATTCACATGAGAAAGAGTCCGGTTACAGGTGACCAATATTGCAGCCTTTGGAACCAGTTCATGCCCCCGTTTATGGTGTGACGGCTGAAGTTGGCGTTGTTTCGTGCTTCTGTGATGTTGATTGGTGGAGTGTTGCTGTTGCTGCACACGGATGGTTGTCATGGGTTTTTTGGTGGCTTGTTTGGTCGGTTGTTTGGTTGGCTGCTTGGTTGGTTGCACTGTCTTCGACGATGCTGATGACAATGACGATGTGGTGGTGGTGCTGGCGGTGGATGTGGCGCTGGTAGCTCGCTCAGACACGGAAGCACTTCGAGCCACTCAGCCAAGTATTTTTGCCCAAGACTTCCTGACCCTCCGACCATTTGCATGATCCGGCGACTGCGACGGCGCACACATGGCCTTTCGAAAGTTTGTGCGTGTGAAGAATATTTGGAAGGCTCGACAATGTTCATCACCTTCAGTTGCAACCGCCTTTGCTACATGCCCAAAATTCGACAGCACATGTCCGCTTGGTCGCGGCCGCATGAGCTCAAGTTGCGAACGTCCGACCGTGCGGCGTGTCCGACAACTGCGCTTTTTGCTTTTCTTTGCCGTTCATGGGCATGTCTCATGAACAAATCGTTTGCTCTGAGTTGTGGGCGCAGGTCTGGCCCATTGCGCTGCTTTGCTTGGCTCAGCGCAGGCTCGTGGCGCAAGACATATTCCCGCCACGTCCAGTTGGGAGGGGCATGATTGATTCAGGTACCAGCGAGGAGAGATGTTCTCTTCAGCTCGCGTCTTGCTGTTCAGCAGACCCAAAAGGGCCGTGTTGGACGACCGGTGCACCATGCTCTATCACATGCAGCCAGTAATCTGCAAGAGTCGCTCCAGGTTTGTGAATTTAGCCGACCACGATTTGTCTCTCCACGTCCATGTAAAGCTCTGGGTCCAGGACCGCGGCACACTTGCCAAAGCTGTTCCTCCCAAGGCAAGAGACCAGGTTGGTTTTGCCTGCACGGTGTGGGGAGCGCCTGCTCCCCCTCCTACCAAGTCACAAGCCAGAGCCACTTGACCTCGACCTCGAGGACGTTGCAATAAACGCCGGCGAAGCTGAGGTGCCGGCCGACTAGGCGCAGCACACTCCGCCCAGATCGGGCAACGAGGCCAAGCCCAAAAAGCCAAACACAGACTCTGTCAGCCACCAGCCTCCCGGGCAGAGCTACTTCAAGACCGCGCGCGCAGATGGCGCCGACGATTGCTACATTTCAACCGCCCAGGCCTGCGCCCACCTCCACGGTACCAGAACCAATGGCAAAGACTTTGCCGCACGAGGGCGTTCCGCCTCTTGGCGTCATCTGAGCTAAGCGAAGGACACAGCGCTACATCCTTGATGATGACAGCTCACTCCCCGAAGACACAACCCGAACGGGAGACTTCTACTGTTGCTCCCTACCAGACACACCTCCACTTCTGCGCATTGAACGATGCGCTAAGTATGTTTCGTCGTCCTGAGGATGAATTAGGATTCCTGTGTAGGAGTTACGCTGAGCGCCGAGTGGGCGTCGTGGCGCCACCGCGCCAAGCTTGCCCTCTCCCACGCCACTTGCAGCACCAATCCCGAACGACCTGAGGGCCGCAGGCAACTGCACCCACCGGCCCGTCCGCTGCTCCGGGTGCACTGTGCTCTGGCTGAAGCTGTGTAGCAAGAAGGCGCCGGTCAAGCGCTCTCTGCCTGCGCTTGTTTAACGGCACAGGACTTAACGCCAGGTTCTGGACCAAGCCATAATCCTCAAAAGCCAAGCCATATTGCAGAAGTTGAGTTCGGTACCTACCCCACCCATTCTGCCCGTGCTTTCATGAATCCTGAAGCCAGCAATGAAGGAGAAACGGAAAGGCCACTGGTGCCCTCCACAGCCCCACCCGTCATTTGCGGGTGCGCATGGCCAGACATTGCCAACGATGTCAGTTACACACCCAACAAACAGGGACCAGCCGAACCCTTGCATTTGCTTTGAGTCATCCAAGGTTGCAGCGACGGCGCTCACACGCCTGGGTGTACCTGCGGACTCACCACTGAAGCGTGCTTAGGTTCCTGGAGGAGTCGGAATCCAGAGGGGCGGAGCCCAACTCTCGAAACCACGAATGCCTTTGATTTGGCTACACTGCCAAAGACCAGCTGTGGACCACAAAGGGTTCCGCTACCCCCAACAGCCTACCTTGTTAGCCACACGTCACCCCTCCAAAAGCACCAGGCGATATCTGTGCGCGATGCCGTCTGGGCCAGGCACGGATGAGGCGTGCCATCACCCCCAACCACTCACTTAGGGTTGCCGTGTCCACTGATCGCCCATGGGCGATGGCCTGCGGCACTCACACATGAGCCCTGTTGCCCAGCGCTTCGGGCGCGTCGGATCCTTCTTGCAGGAGTGCCGACAACTTGTCAGGACGCTGAAGGCGTGTTGCAAATAGACCTCAAAGCAACAAGTGCTCCTAAGTGGAAGCAGTTCCTGCGGGACTGCCGCCCGCCTTGCGTCGAACTCATGACCTGGAGGTGCAGCGCCGTGCGCGCTCCAACACGCCTTTGCTGTCGCCCCGGCAGGCCCAACACGGACAGAGGGCGTGCAGAGCCAGTGCCGGACTGGTGGGGTGGCCAGCTTGGATGGACTTCCAAGACGGGGTGGGTTGTAGTGAAAGCGCACCCGGACCCTGCCACGCGAGTCCGCATGCAGGTCGCAGCACGCATTCTCGGCGTTGAAATCACTCGTGCCTACACCATGTGGCCCAAACGCCACACCTGCCCAAGCATGCCATGACCAGTTTATAACGACTCCTCTGTTGTTTTGCATTCTTAGGCAAACCGCATGAAGCTACAGACTGGTAGTCTGCTGTTCTTCGCTCGTGGCCCAACGACACAGTCCACGCGGTCCGCCGGATTCTGCGCAACCACTGCAAGAACCCTACTCTTCATTCACCCAATAACTGTGCCAGCTGAGCAGAACACCACGCCAGCGAAATACGTTTGCTGCCTGCCAAGCAACCTGCCCAGCGCAAGCGTCGTGAGCATGTACAGCTGCCACATACGCATCGCTGTAAACTTCCCTCAGGAAATCTGCCATGCTTTGCATCGCTTGCACTGACACCGCGTGCCACGCGAGTGAATAATACCTTGAAACGCACCGAGCCCGGACCTCTGTGCTTCAGCCCAAAAACATCCGGGAACATGATGGATTGCTCAGTAACCTGCCCAAGGCAAGCCTCGTGAGCATGTACAGTCGCCACATACGGAATGCAAATTGCTGTAAACTTTCTTTGGGAAAATTTGCCATGCTTTGCATCACTTGCAACGACACTAACGCACAGAGCCCGCACCTTTGTGCTTCAGCCAAAAAACATCCGGTAACATGAGGGCTTTGAGGACCACTGTGGCCTGGCATGCCGGGCTAGCCGCACTTGCTTGAATGTTAGCCGACTGCAGCCTGGTTCATGCCCTGTTCCACTTTTAAGTTCCATTACAAGTTTCAGCGTAGCTTGCGCATCGCTGAGGTATGCCAGCGCAAACCCGACGTGGCATGTGCGATGTGAGCCCCGCTGCACGGTCCCACCGTGCAGCACTGCCCAATCCACCTTGTAGCAATTTGCCTTAGGTGCGTGTGCGCCTTACCCAATGACGGGTTGGTGCACGTCAACATGACGATGATTGTGATGGTTGTGGTTCATGGTCTTCTTCATCCTTGCAATCGCGGTTGCAGTGGTTTTGTCGTGTTCGTCGTCGGTGATGCTGCTGTCGTGGTCATTTTGTGTGTGTGTGTGTGTCATGGACGTCATGGTGGCGCAAGTTGGTTCTGAATTGTTAGCCAGCGGTTGACAGAGAAGTTGCCTGTTAGTTGTTGTCTTGTTTCTGGCAGGTGTTTGCTTTGGTTTGCTATTCATCCCTTTGCTGCGATCTTTCCCCATTTCATTCTGGAAGGCGTTGTACGACATTTGCTTCCGCACGCTGAAGCTGACAACGCCAACTTACGGCGACCTCAACCACTTGGTCTCAGCAGCCATGTCCGGGGTGACGCTGGCGCGGCACCGGCCAGCGCAGACTGCGACGCAAGATTGCCGTGAGCTCCCGGGTACCGTTCCCGCGGCTGCACTTCTTCTTGACCGGCTTCGCACCGCTGACCTCCCCGGGTCACAACCAGTGCCATTGCTCTGACGGTGCCTGAGCTGACTCAGCAGATGTTTGATGCCAAGAACATGATGTGCGCGGCAGATCCCCGTCACGGGCGCTACTTGACGGCCGCAGCGCTGTTCCGGGGCCGCATGTCAACAAAGGAAGTAGATGAGCAGATGCTTAACGTGCAGAACAAGCATCTTGGCGAGTAATTGGCAATCACGAGGTTGCAGTGGATGGTGCGCACGTTAATCGTATGATATCTAGCAACATTGCTTGTACGGCATGCATAAACCCATTGGCAGGAACTCGTCCTACTTTGTGGAGTGGATCCCGAACAACATCAAGGCATCGGTCTGCGACATCCCGCCGAAGGGCTTGAAGATGGCGGTCGCCTTTGCCGGCAATTCCACCGCCATCCAGGAGATGTTCAAGAGGGTTGCGGAGTACTTCACTGCCATGTTCCGCCGCAAGGCTTTCCTGCACTGGTACACCGGTGAGGGCATGGATGAGATGGAATTCACCGAGGCCGAGTCCAACATGAACGACCTGGTCTCTGAGTACCAGCAGTACCAGGATGCCACGGCTGAAGAGGAAGGTGAATTCGATGAAGAGGAGGGTGAGTACGATGGCTAGAGCAAAGTTGTTTCCACATTGCACTTGCTCTGATGGGCCCGTGTTGAAAGCATCACGGTATCCCGCTGAGCAGCTTGGTGCACTTTCAAGAAACACGTCTTGAAGGTGAGCGCCGGGCGAATGAACTGGAGGGAATCAAAAAGATGGGCTCGAGAGCTCGAAAGCGGCGTTGCTTGCCTGAAAGGCCTCCAAGTGAGCCCCTGAAAATGGGGAGTTGCGCTTCGGCCAGTTCCTTGGAACAGGTTTTCGCGAGAGTACCCATGTGATGGCGCACCCATAGGTGTCTCAGCCTTTGCCGGGTGTTTCCCCAGCCTTTCCAGACCCTCTAGAAGGAGTGGGGTATGGGCACCCCCACAAACATGGAGCCTCTTCTTTTCAGAGGACCGTTCCCATCTTTTTCTGCGGCCCGGTTCTTTTTGGATGGTTGTTTGATTTTTCCGGACCCAGTCACTCACTTCCCAGTGGGTATTCTTTAAACTTGGGAAGTCCAGTTTTCTTGGCGAACGACATTTGTTGGACATTTCTTTGGCAACCCCACTCAGGTACCTCTTTTTTTGGGGGTGGGTTTAAACAGGATACCAAAGAAACGTCATCATCCTCTTTTTTTGGAGGGATCCCTATTTGGGTGTGTCTATTTTTGGAGATACCTCTTCTTTTTGTTTGGCTTTAAAGGGAAACCAACAGAAAAACTGTTTTGCAATTTTTGGGAGTCCCATTCCTAAAAACAGACACGCTCAAATTCTCATTTTGGGAGGGACTGGGTCCCTAATTAGACACACATACACACACACACAAATCTAGCGGTTGATTCCGATTCCATTCTTTTCAGCCATCGTTCTTTTCAAAACCAGGTCCATTTCTTTAGGGTTTTGGGTGGTTTTCTAAGATCCGGATCCCTGAGTTCAGAATGGGGAAGTTATAAAGGGGGGGGTGGTTTTTGCCCCTCCAACAGTCTGATTCCCAACCCAACCCAAAAACACCCCCAATGAACTGGGGTTTAATAGGAACAAAGTCGAGTGAACCACGTCCGAGGCACCAACGTGGTCTTCCACAGTCTTGCCTGGGACTCCTCCAGCCAAGACGCGGTAGCCTCGGGGAATGCCCAAAAGCTTCGAGGTTTTTGATGGTTTTTGGGGCTTCCCTTTGGCTTCGGATGGATTCTGGGGCCTTTTGGGCCTTTCGATTTCATTTTGGCCATCCCTCCGGGCTTGGCGTCGCGCAAGACCGTGCGCAAGGGATCCACTTTTTTCCGGTCTGGATATGGCCGGTTTTGGACAAACATGGGGGGTGTCTGTGGCGAGCGCTCCAAGGAAGAGTCTCAAAAAGGAATACCCCACCTAACATGGAAGTGCACAGACCCCTGTAGAAAGACGACTTTCCTCTTGGTTAGTTGGCCTTTCTGCAGCACAAACCCATGTTAGTGGGGTATCGGCCAGGAGTTTTCTCGGTGTTCCCGGGCATCCGGTTCCTTGGAGTGTTCAAATGTTTCTAGGGGTTGGTGGGGGTGTCCATTTAACCCAAGAGCTATATACACTTGTAGCAGGGGATCTGAGGACAAACCAGTGTTGAAAACTCAACTGGGAACCGGAAGCCAACCCAGAGGGGTGTGCCTTTGATTGGCCTGACAAGACGGAAACCACCTTGGAACAGACTAGTTGGCGCTGTCCGCAAAACTCTTGAAGGTGGCAATGATGCAACAAATAGCTTCTTCTTAGGTATGCCGAATGTGTGACACAAGTTGCGGCAGCACATTCAGGGGTCCCTCCATTTATTCCATCGTTTGGATCTCCAAAAGTGGACATTTTGTTGGAGCCCACCAGCAAACTGCACCTTTCCCTGAAAAAAGACCCTGCGTTGGATTTGCAAAAAAACCAGCCCGGAGGATTTCCCTTACCTGAAAGCCGCTACTGTGGGAAGCCGGACCCACCTGAGCGGAAAAGTGGGGTTGAAGAAGGTGCCTTACTTGTTGCCGAGTCTCCAGGGCTGTAAACTTATCAGACATCAAGGTGTTTCTTGAATACATCGGGAATACATAGTCATGGGCGACATGCCGTTCAGTGGTGAATGCTTTCTCTTTAGTAAGGAATCAACATCGTACTCAGGATGTCTTGAAAGAACCGGACAAACCTGCGCGAGTCACCAAGCACTAGATTCCCAAAGCACCAAATTAGCGTTTCTCAACAAAAGATTTGATCTGCGGGTTCACCGCTTTCAGGCAAATTCGCAAAGGGAACCTGCACCGTCACTTTTTGTAGATTCTCAACCTACATGACTATGTGTGTATATTAATATGTATATATGGTATAATAAACCTACATACGTGTAAATCGTCTTTTTCTCCCTTTGGCTGCAAGTGTGCCGCAAGTCATGCTTCCGGCAATAAGCGCAGGCTCCCGGCTGCGATTCGAGGTGATTGTGGCAGATAGCAAAGGGCACCTGGGCTTCTACAACCTCATACAGGAGCAACGTACACATGACGTGGTGGCTCCCTGCCATCCTGTTAGGATTTTAGCTTTCTAGGTGGTAGTTCCATTTGACCAAATAGAGTTAAGCTTTGAGCGGCGGATCTGAGGACAGCCCAGATGAGAGAAGGCACGATTTCTCGTTTTCCATGCAAATTACATTCGTTGCTGAGTCTATTAGTTCTGTGCCAAATACTTTTTATTTATTATTTATTCCAAGCTGTGCACAACCGACTTCTCCCTGCTGTTGAAAGGAAGCAACAAAAAGTCACGTGAGGTACTTGCTTGGGGGGCTGGCTGTTTGCGATGGTGATTTAGGGGGGCTGATCCGGATTCGCGGATTGACTTTTTCAAGCCTCGAGGGTGGGGAGGGGGAGGGTCCTTATCCAGATTGATTCCAATTGATTCCAACGATCAATCCTGTCCCCCCAAGATCCCGTCAACAGGTTTCAGCGCCTGGTCCAAGTTTGGATCTCAATGACTTTCTGGGTTTTCATGGCTAGCTTTCGTGCACCATGGCCGTTCGAAAGGGTTTTACCTGTGTGGGGTTGTCTTTTTTGAGGGTGCCCCATTGCTTGTGCCTTTACAGGGAAAGTTGCAGTTCGTACTCAGTCCGCTTCATGTTGGAGTTTTCATGTTTTTTTTTTTTTCAACTTGGATCTTATCGCCGCCGCTTTCACTGACCTCAGTGCGGCCTGTTGCGGGGCCGCTGCGACAAGGCCTTAGTTGGCAGCTGCTTTCCTCACAAGAAGGACAAAGCCGCGGATGAGCACACAGTGGCCAAGGACAGCTAGGCATTTTTCGCCCATTCGGGCATACGACTGGGAGACCAGGACCACACGGGCACGAACTGGGACGATACCTGGCCGTGCCAGGAGACTTCTAGATAGCTGAGCTGCAGGTCAAGGCCGCGGGAAAGATCAAGAACGATCGTGGTCGCCGGGCCGACACCTGCCGGCTTTGGGCTCGTGGAGTCTTCAACACGACCGGACATGGCGCGTCATGGGCAGCCGGTCAAGTCGGAGCATTTGTGGCCGGGACCCTGCTACAAGTTGAAGCAAAGGGAGGTCGATCCAAAATCCCATTTCATCGGGGAATGGTCCCGGCCATCTCTGGTCTTTGCGCATCTTTGCACATCTTGCCGCGGGTGTTTTTGAATGGATCTTACAGGCTTCCAAAACGAGCCCAGGATTCAACTCACACACCCTGGTAGCCTGTCTTCAGCACATTTGGTGTCGATCACTTCCCAAGTTTCTGGACAAAGCCACTTGGCAAGACCAGCTTAGTGTCTTTTTCGGCAAATCCCACTCGGAAAGTGAAGGGACAGATGTCCATTTGCCCCAACCTCTCCCCCCAACCCCCAACCTCTCCCCCCAACCCCCACCCCCGAACCCCCAACCTCCCCCACCCATGACCAACCCGAGAGGAGTCCTGGGTGGCCTGGAAGAGCGTGGCGGAGGAGCCCATCTTGCACGTGCAGCTGCTCTCCAACCGCCTGCTGCTGCTGATGCCGCACTCCCTGCAGGCGCGAGTTGCCAACGCTTCAGACGGCGTTTCCGAGGCCGACGCGGCCCAGACCCAAAGGAACGCGGCTGGGTTGGGCTCGCAGCTGAGGAAGTAGGTTATAACTAGTTAGAACTTATAGCCATGGTTGTAAGGGAGCCACACTTGGAGGTTCAAGCCCTTAGTAGAAGTGGGGTTTTTGGTCGTGGTTTCGTAAGGGAGAACCACCAAACAAAGTTGAACTTCCGAGAAGGGCACCCCTCAAAATGGGTGCAGCTCCTGGAGCTTCAAAACATCCCCGAGAAGGGTACACCCAAAGAAACATTTCCGCATGAGGGTTCGAAGCAACTCCAAAAGGCATGGGCGTTTACATGGTGTTCCCGCCGAAGGATCAGTGGGCCCGCCAGGTTCTTGGATCGTAGGTATGTTTCCCCTTTTGGATTGATGGTTTCGATGGGGCCCCTTGGCTTCCCTCCAGGGAAGCCGCCAGCTCTGTGTGCGCGCGGACTGTGGTGATTTGAAACAGCGCCCTTGGCCCATCGGCGTATGAAGGTTTCCGTTCAGGATGTTTCGAAGTTGGACATATACAGAACCCAAGGGAACCATGCCCACCCACACAAAGATGTCAATGTGTTGCTGCCCTTAAGCAAAATCAAGATGCGGCATCTTGCGCGCTTTTTTTTTGGAAGGGTCACATATTGCAGTTTCTTTTCCATAGGTGTCCTCTTTAGGTGAGCCCGGTTAAAAATAGATGGGTTCCACTGGCTTAGATGGTTTTTGTTCCATGTACCAGTGCCATCCATTCTTCCAAAAGGCCACCTATGTTCTTTCTCATGTTTTTCGGGTGCCTTCTGCCCAGCCGAGCTTGGCCTCGCCGGCGGTTGGCAGAACTCGTGGCATGCTACACTGGTGCAAACCGTGGTAGCACAAGGACCAGCTCGGTTTTCATGCAACTGGGTCTGTCTTGCTTTGGATTGGAGCCTAGCCCCGTTTTGGTTGGTGTAAACGGAAACCAACGGGAAAACCGTTTTGCCTCTTTGGGCTCCTCCACAGAGGACATGCCCAACCCAAGGTATTCTTACCCCCCACTCCAATTGCACGGTGTTCTAGGGATTCTTGGCCAGAAAGGCAAGTTCCGAGCACGAAACTTAAACGGCAGAAAGCTCTGGCATGTTTTGATTTGTACTGGTTTCGAATTGGTTTCTAATGTGTTTCAAATTGGTTTAGTATTGGTTCAGCGTTGGTGTATTGTTGGTTTAGTATTGGTTTCTCAGTTTAGTATTGGTTCTACAGTGCCCCCTATGCTAGCTGATAACAGGTTCAGTATTGGCAAGATCCGATTGAGTATTGGGAGATTTGGTGTCATGGAAAAGTAATCTGTTCATAGGGTGCATGTATTAATAGGGGGAAGTGATTCTTGTGCGCAGGTGCTGGACATTGTGCGCGGGGTGAAGTTTGCCGAGATCAAGGATTGGGGGGATTTGGAGATTTGTTGGTTGTTTGGGTTGCTTGGTTGGTTGTGTTTGGGTTGCTTGGTTGGTTGTTTCTTGTGTTTTGTGATATCAAGTGATAGGGGGGGGGGGCTCTGGTAGTTGTTGTTGGTGTGTGGTGTTTTTCTCGGTGCTTGCCGGTGTTTGGGCTGGGTCTGTTGTTAGATATATGTATATATATACACAAAATAACTTAGTTTCAATATATACATAGATATGTACACTCATGTGGCGATGTGCATATATACCAACCGGTGTACCCACAGACACGTACAACTATACTTAATTGCAAATAGACATACCTAAACATATGATTATATATACGTCCCTACACTTGCACACATAGCAACAATCGCACGAGTGTGTATGGATATTGTATATGCACGTACACATGAACAACACACACACACACATGTTTAGTCTTGTAGTATGTACGTATGAGTTCTTTCTATGTATGACATGATATGCTATAACATGGTCATGATATGGTATGATGTTATTCATGTGATATGTTATATATACATACATGTTCTGACATGATATGTTATGCCATGATATGCTCTGCCATGATATGTTATGCCATGATATGATGCGAATGCTGTGACATGACGTGATATGGCATGACATGAATATGATGCAACAAGCTATGATAATCATATGAGATGGACGCGTTCTGACATGATATGATATGACTTGGCATCTATGGTATGATATGACACGATATGATATGATACGATATCGCATGCCACGATATGATCTGGCCCGGCAGGATATGACATGACTATGACACGATATGACATGATACGTCACCACACACATGATATTGTGTAATACACTATGCTATGACATAATGTGACATGACACATCTACATATGATTTGACATGATATGATATGACATAGCATGCCATTGATGACATGGCATGATACGATCCATTCTGACATGATGTGATGTGATGTGATGTGATGGCATGACATGATGTGACAGGACATGGCATGGTAGACATGATGTGACATGACATGGAATGGTATGATCGGACATGATATGGCATGACATGATCGGACATGATATGGCATAATTTTATTTGATGACTTGACAGGATACGATCTGATATGGCTGTGGGTCAAAACCAATGGGATCCCATTTTGGGGTAGGTGAATTCACCACCCATTTTAGAACCTATTTTAGTGGTTGGATTGAATCGGATGTTCACTGGTGGCTACCCGGGCGTGTGACCCATACGCATTGGGTGCTTTGTGACTGGCAGGAGCACACGGCGCCGGTGGTGGCCATCTCCTCGAAGTCCACCAGCCAGGGCTCGATACTCTACACCGCCGCTTCGGCTCCGAGAGATGTTTTTCTCGAGTTTTAGACTTTGGGTGTGCCAGAAACTGGCCAGGCCATGTAAGCCAAAGAGGGAGGACACTGTGCAATGCCTTGTGTGTCAAGAAATGGTGGAGGTGCTGAAAAAGGGACCCCCGCCTAAAAAGAAACAACAAACAAAAGCAGCAAAACAGGCAATTTACTGGTCCGCAGGAAAGGCTGGAACCCCCCCACACCAAATATATAAAAGGCACCTGTGCCCTCCCCCAACCCTCCCCCATCCCAAAACCAAAAATAAAAGGCGGCAATCTGGTTGGCACAGAGGCTGTGTTTGAAGTTTTTGGGGGAGAACTCCCAAACCAAATCTTTGGTGCATTTTGCCAAGGGATGTTAGGACTTAACTTTTTGCCAACTAATGGGTTTTCCGTATTAAACCACTAAAGGTTATTCACTTTTAGCAGGGGAGCAGAAAGCAACCGAGAAATAGAAAAAGCGGGCAAATGGTCCGCGGAAAAGGCTTTCTCCAGTTCTTGCGGGAGACCAGCTCCAGGATAAGAAACCCGAGCTCAGCTTCAAAAGCTCAAGACGGTTCCAAGAATCATGGCGTGGCTTCAAGTCGACCACAGACGGGCGGCTTCAAGTGGCTGTGACTCTGGGAGAGCTTCGAAGCGCTCTGGAAAGGCGCACGGATCCCGGTTCTGCCTTGGTTCCATGTGTTCAGATTGAGCCAGTTGGGCACTGCCCAGAACCAAAAGGAGTTCTCGGTTTTTCACCGGTGTCTTTGCTTCACTGTCGGCGTGTTTGTAGGTTGTTTTGGTTCTGTCCATCGCAGGGGCTGCAAGAAAACCAAGTTCTTTGCTACCGTACCAAGAGTTGGAGCAGTTTATTCATGTTTGAAGGGCCTTGGCACAACCCCTGTGACCCTCGGGTCGCTCTGGAGTTCTGCGTAAGTTTTAGGGATGTGCTTGTGTTGCAAGTTGCCAACCCCCAAATCCAGTTGTCTCGTTTTTTTTGGCGAAGGGCTCCCCTTTAACAGGTCAACCAACCAAAAAAGGGATGTCCTTGTTTCCCCCTGGCCACCGGGCATTGATGGTGAAATCGAAGGGTGGGAAACGGGTCCCACCCTCGCTACCGCCTCCAAACTCCCAACATCTGAAGTCTCAATACCACGCATCCCCATGTGTAGCTTGTGGTTGTTTTCGCGAAGAGCAATGAACCATTCAAGCATCAGAATGTGCAACCTCAAGCCTGGTTCATAAGGGTCATGCTCAATTCACAAGCCTGCCAGAGACCCTTCTCAGAGACCCTCGTGGTAAGTTCCCTGAACTTGGACCCAGGCAGCTATGGACAACACCATCCGGCTGTGGGACGCAGCGCCTCGTCAAAAAGCACGCACATCCCTTCCACCAACTGACATGGAGTTGCACAAATTCCCTTTCCAAGAGGAAAGCAGTTTTTCTACGGGGTCTGTGCACTTTCATGTTCGTCGGTGAGAGGGTATATGTATTTATAGTTCCATCCAAGAAATGGAAGGCATTCATTGGGTCCTCATTTGGAGAGGAGCCCCCGCAGTTTGCTCACAAGATTAAAGCTTGATTGTTCTGGTTCGCACAGATGAATAGTGTGTATACATGCATGATGTCAATAGAGTTGATTCATATAATATATCATAGCTATTGGCAAGCTGGTAGAGGTAAAGGTCGATCATGTAGTGGAACGCCCATGGTGCATAGGTTACTCATCATGAAATGGTAACTGGCATTGCGTTGCGTTGTGTTGCATTGCATTGCATTGCATTGCATTGCATTGCATTGCATTGCATTGCATTGCATTGCATTGCATTGCATTGCATTGCATTGCATTGCATTGCATTGAATTGCATTGCATTGCATTGCATTGCATTGCATTGCATTGCATTGCATTGCATTGCATTGCATTGCATTGCATTGCATTGCATTGCATTGCATTGCATTACATACATACATACAGATTAATACATATATATATATATATGTATACACATACACACGGGACCATTTTTGGGAGTGACTGGCCTGCCCCAAAAATGAGTCGACCCAATCTTGCATCACGGTTTCTGAGGCAGGTTGGGCTTTCAATGTGTGAGGTCCCATTGCCAAACCCCCTGAAATTGGTGTCCTTTTGGATGGTACCCCATTTCTAAGACCACCCATTTCGGATTTCGGGGTCAAAACAAAGACATACTCAATGGGGTTTTTGTGTCCTTGGATACAAAAACAACCCTTTGGGTTGAGTCCCCTAAAGACAGGCAAACAACTTGTTTAAGCAATTCTTGTCTCAAGCTGCTTGTGAGCCTGGCAAGGGCTGAGACAGATTTTACACCACGTTTACGAAGCCATTTGCCCATACCCTGTTGGTTTCCCTTGGGGAAAATCGATGATCTTAGGCCAAGCCGAGGGTTTCGGGCGACCAAATATTCCCTCTCCAAAATTGCCGCAGGACACGCTGGAGTGCATCAAGTGCCTCAAGGACTCGCGGGCGGAGGTCCCCAGGATCAGCTCACGCGCTGAGCGAGCTGGACTTTCAATACCCGTTTTGGGGGCTTGGACGAAACTTGAGCGGTAAACGGCCAATACAAAAAGTTCGTTTTTTTTTTGGTGTGTTTGGGCCAATCCACTCAAGGGTGATGGCAGCACCGAGCTTTACCGACAGTCCGCGAAAGCAAAACATGGGGTCGCGAAAGCGCGAAAGCGTCCGCGAACGCAAGTTCATAGTACCGCTTTTACACAAGAGTATTCGGCACGGCTCAATTATATTGCTTTCGGCTACTGCCGCTATTCCCTGACAATTTCTCGACTATTCGTTCCGACTGTTTGCCGGACTATTTCCCAACATGGAACCAACAAGTGAGTCCGTTTCCCAAGTGGCTATGCCGTTTCTCAACATTCATCCTAGTGTTTTGGGTTCCTCCCCATATCTGAAGAATAAACAATATGAGGTCCCCCAGTAGCCCTGCTACCCCTTTTTTGGGGGAGGGTTCCCCTACTAAAATGACTACAGAAAAAGGGTACTTTTATTCTAACCTCTCTACTATAACCTAAAATAACTGGATGACCATTGGCCAGCGGCTTCTGGTTCGGAATTACAGGGCCCCGCCAGGAGAAGAAGCAGGAAATCACCGCGATGGTGTTTCTGCCCAAGGCCGGACATTGTGTGCCGTTTTCGGGACGAACGTGGGAGGGGCTCTTGCCGTTGAGGTTCCCCGACTACAGGTTGAGGGGTTGGACATTTGAGCGTCTCGTGATCATGACTCGCTCCCGGCAACCCAATACTAATTATTGTTGTTTTCCTTGCGGTACGCCAAACTTGTCAACTTTGAAGAAAAAACACATGCCATTCCCATTTATCAGCCGCCAAAGTCAGCCAACAATGATTTGATTCGGCAAAACCACCAGCCAGAAAAGAATGTTTATTCCTAGGGATCGGTGGGTGTTTATGTGCGGGTACCCTTCGGGAACAACTGGGGACCAAGCAAATCACACCTAAATCAAGAACCGCATGTTAAATCTAGAACACCCCGCTGGTGTTTCTCTGAATAGGGGACCCCTTGGATGGGTTTCGAAGGAAACCAAAGGCAGCCCCCCTGGAGGGCTCCATGTTGAGAAACACGGCCAAGGAACAGGTTGGGGCTCAAGCAAAGGGCGCCCCCCCCGGGTCTTGTCGAGTTTGTCTTCAAGCTTCGCTCTTATGTGTTTTTTTTTGTTTGAGAGAAACTCTCAGCCCAAAAAGACTTTCTCACCTTGGGCTGTTCAAAAGTTATCCTGAATCCTTACCTTGGGTTACGCAAGGGGTCCCACTACAAAGCTTTGTACTGGCCTCCCTATAGAAAAATATGAAACATCGGATTGGCCAACCCTCCAGTATGAAAGGGGACCATCCAAACAAAAATAGCAAACCACCTATTTTTGGTATCAAACAACACAGATTTTAGCAACCAACCAGAAACTGTGCAGAACTCCTTTGTATTGCTTGTAGATTTGTCCTTTGGTCGCTTGGTTCGTTGGTCCTTTTGGTCCCTTGGTCCTTCTGTTTGTGCTTTGGTCCGCTGGTCCTTTGGTCTTTTTTGGTGTTGGTCTTATTGTATGCGCTTCGCGTTGCCCGCCTTGGCCAGTATGCTTTTGGCTGGCTTTGAGGTACTGTGTTTCGGTTGGCCTTGAAGTGTTGTGTTTCTTTGAGTGAGTGAGTCGGCACCGAAATGCGCGAGCTGGTTTCCTAGGCCAAAAAAGAGGTGCATCGCGCTTCTCCACATGGCTTCAAGGGCCGTCGAACGAGAGCCGTCGGAGAGGTTTGAGAGCCCTGGATCAGGAGATCGCACAGGCCGCCGCATCCCAAGCCTCTCTGACCCTAGCGCAACACCCTGTTTACCTGAGTGAATAGTTTGCGGCTGGTGCCTTGAGATTGCGCCTGCCATTCTGGGATTGGTAAACAAGTATGTTGACACCCAACCCGCAATTTGAACAGCCCAGCCTCTTTTCGCGAAGTTTTTTCGGTGAGCGCATTCCATTCGGCCTGGTCTCAGAGGCCAACGTGATCATCACCGGCCACGAGAATTCCGACCTGAAGATGTGGTCCCTGGACAGCCGGGGGCCATGTCCAAAGAAACGAGACGAGGGAGGCCAAACCACAAGTCAGGTTGCTCTGGGTGGTTTGGATTGGTGGTTTGGATTTGAACTTCTGGTTCTTGTAGAGGGCACACCCAGGACCAGTCAAGTCAACTCATTTCAGCCTTGTAGGTTCCGGGGGGGGGTTCACGAGTTTGGTGACCTCCCACATGGAAACAGGTCCAAGAACCTGTCCCCTCCAAAAAGGCATTCGCCCCTCCTGGCTCAGGTGAGGCTCAGGTTTCCCTGCGCCCGCCATGAGTGTCCGAATGACTTGATTTCGCTGAAGCCTTTGCGGTTTTGGACACCCCAGAGATCAGCCCCAAAAAATGTTTTTTCCCAAAATGTGGGGCTTGGCCAAGCGACATCTCGGACCAGCTCGCACCATCGCTTCCCAAGGGCCAGTGTGTTAGATCCACTAGGCAACCATTGGCCTTTGGAAGAAGAGGTGGATGTAGCCCAGAAGCCTCGGAAGCTTAGAGATTGAAAATCCGAAGGAAAACCAACAAACCAAAAAAACAAAACAATCCAATTGTCCATTCAGCTTCCCTCCAATGGTGGTTTGACAAGTTCGGCCCATATACGGTTTTAAGGAGCCCAAGAAATGCCAACTTGTTTTTCACCGGCAGCTAAGTAATAGCAGGCTGTTGTGAAACTTCAGGTTTCGCTTCTAACACTGGTTGCTTGGGTTGTAGCATCGCTTGTCTGGAGGTATAGATGCTGGACTGGACGTGGTCTGACACGGCTGCCTTTTTTTTGAAGCCCCACCTGAGTGTCTAGCCCTAATGCCTCCAAGCTGCATAGCCCATCAGCCAAAAAGGGGGTCTGGCACATTTTTCGGGTACACTGGGGTAAAAAAAACTCGATCATTTCCTCTTCTGTGCTTTGCACATATGCACCTTCTGCCCCTGGCACCCAACGGATTTTTGAGTCCGTTTTCGAGGCCGGGGATCCAACTTGGGCCGTTTTCTCCCTACGGCCTCTCCGGTGGGCTCTTCTCAGGCCAAGAGGCCTACCTGCGAACGGTCACGGGCCAGCCTGCCGCTGGGCAACAGGGCTCCTTAAAAGATCTCCCATTTTGCAACCAGTTGAAACATGTGGCTTTTTCAACACCAAACAGAAACAAGAAAAACACCACCATTTACAAGTTGCAATGCTCAGGTGTATAATGTAAGGATCCCTACTCAACCAAAACCGGGGAGGTTGGATCCTCGCCGCGACTGCGAAGCTTCCAAGTTTTTGGGTTAGCTGACTCAGATACGAATTTGGGTGAGCCAGAAATTCGAAGTGGGTAGCATCAACCCGTTGGTCAAGAAGCCAGGAAGTGTCGACCCACGTATGTTCTGAGTGAATAGAGGCCATGGCTGGTTGATGAGTTCCTTCCAATCACTGGTTGCTCAGTAACTTGAGTCCCCAGGGATTATATGTGCCAAGATCAATGACCTGGTCAGGGCCTGAGGCTTGGGCTAAAGAGGGATGGAAGTGGTTGGTCGGGTTGGTTGGGTTTTGCACCCTCGTGGGCTTTTTGGGGATGGAAGATGGGCTTGGATTTCCAACATTCTCGACAAAAGGAAGGGCGGGATTTCGGTTCCCCTGTGATTTGTTGAGCCGCCGGCTTCAATGCGGCCCTTGTGAAGGGGGCTGCGTTTGTGTCTGGCTACGGATCATGGCTACCGAAGTTTTCGGGCCTGCCTTTTCGGACCAATGGGCAACTCAAATGGGCGGCTCTTTATTTTGAGGTTCGACCCCATGGCCAATTTTTTTTTGCGTTTGGTTCCCTTCGGAAACTTAAAACAGCCCTCTTGCCGGGTCCTCCCGGGTCCTTCCGGCCACCACGGCTGAGTGACATGGGCGTCGGCAAGCATCGTTGATGGGTTCAAGAGTCATGTCAAGTCAGGAGGTACAACCCACGGAATCATAGGTCTAATGTGGCTGTCGGTCAAAAAAAGGTACCCAAAATGGAACCCTGGTAAGTGGAAACGTAAACTAAAACCTGCGGTCCCTTGGTGGTTCAATTTTGACCCATACCCATAGAATTGCACTCATGTCCTTGGCAGGACATAATCTTACACAGGTCCGAGGGCTCGGTGTGGCTTTCTGGTCAGAACGTGTCAGAACGCAGTCCCAGGTGCACGAGAACACCATCAGCGCGCTGATCCTGGTCAACGTGCACGGGGAGGTCGAGGCCGAGGAAGATGCCGCGGCGAGCGGCCGCGCGGCGAAACATTTCTTTTTTGCGGGAGAGGGAGCTCCGGAACTTCAACATGCTTTGCCTTTGCCACGGTTTGTGGGATAAAAAAGCAGCCCCCCTGGTAGTGTAAAAACTTTTTCGGAGGGTTTCGGCAAAGGCAACTCCTGTCCGGAACTTGGTGGCTTGGGGGTGGTTCCGGGATCGTTGTTTGCCTCCACTTGGCAGTTTTTCAGTCCGGTTCCTTAGGTTTGACTAGCTTTCTAGTTGGTTGAGTGCCAGAAAAAGAAAAAAACAACGGTAAACCGTTTTTTTTCTTTTTTCCCGCAGATCAGTTGGACAGCCCAGTGGTGGAATGTGACCCGCTTCCGCGGGGAATGGCAAGCTCACAGATATTTTGTTTGGGCGTTTTTGGGGTGGGGAGCCGAACCCCACTCAATTAGCCTTGGTGAATGGTTTGAGGCCAACAGAAGCCATATGTTTTAATCTGTCTTGGCCTAATTATTGCTAACACCTTTGGGGGGAGCGATGCCCCCATGGGGTACCTTTCCCATTTGGTTTCAAAAGGAACTGGGGTTCAAATCCCCTCCACCAATCCCAAACAAGGGTGACCAGTTTTTCGTTTCTGGGCTTTGCGGGAAATTGCGTTTTGGCACTTGGTGTGATACTAGGGACTCCCTTGGAAAGCGATGATGTTCTCCTGGAAATCAGCAAGGGACGTGGGGGGAATACGGGAAGTTTGGTAGGATTTGTGGTGGAGGGAAGGGGGGGGGAAGGGGTGAAGGGAGCTTGGGTTACGGGAAGGAAGGAAACGGTGGAATTGGATGGGGGGGGTATGGGGACGGAAAGGGAAGGGCGGGGTCGCGGGGGAAGGGTGGGTTGGGGGGAGAGGAAAACGTAAATGGGGGTGCCCTGGGGGGGTTGGGACGTGGGGAAGAGACGGAGGAAATTGGGCGGAAGTGTGAGGAACGGGGGACGGGGCGGTAGGAAATCAGCAAGAACCTCCTTTTTTCAGTGAAGACCCTTCGAAAAATATGGGTGTGTGTTTTTGGGGGACCCTTAAATTGGCCGTTTTCTCTTGGATTTCTCTTGAAAGCCACCAAAAAAGGTCGGTACCAGCAACAAAGAACCCTCCAGAGTGGCAAGGGCTTCCTTTGGGTTTCCCTTTCACCCAACCCCAAAAACGGTTGGGCAAAGTCCCCGAGCCCGCTAAAACTCGAGCCCACTCCGACTTGGCGCGTTTTCCTTTTGGTTTCCCTTTAACCCAACCCAAACATGTCTGTATGGTACTCCAACCCAACCCACCAAAGCTGGGCAAAGGGGCAAAGTCACCCTGAGCCCCCCCCCCCGGAAAAATAATAAGCAGAAGCCGGGCCAGCGAGCCCGCCGCACCACCCCCTCGCTCGCGTTCGTTGTCGTGCTTGTGGTGTTTTTTATGTGGGTTTTTCCCTCGGCCAACAAAAACCACCACGGGCCCCTCGCTCGGCTTTGGCACGGCAAAAAAATCCGGAGAACCGGAGCGAGCGCTCGAGGCTTCGAGCTGGTGGTGGCCGGGAGCTACGACCGGCAGATGTCCTTCTGGCGGGTGACTTTGACCTCGGACGGCACCGCCATGGCGAAGCTCGAGCGCGCCTTCCTGGCACACGAGGCGGATCGGATCGATCCGGAGCCGAGGGAGGGCCAGGGGCTGAGGCGGTAAAGGAACTGGGCGCCATGTTGCGAAAAACTTGTGGGTGGACACGGGTGGTTTTTTTCTTCTTTTTCTCCGGAATTATTGACCCGCGGAAAGTGAGTTGCTTTTTGCACCAACAGCAACCTAGATAAGGGCTGTGTTATTTGTTGTTTCTACAAACCTGGATCATCCTATGATCATTCTGTGATATCCTATGATCATGGTGTAGTTTGGTTTTCAAGTACCCCACGAGCCCTGTTCTAGTTGTCTAGGCCCTTGCCTCACCAGTTCCGTGGCTTTTCACACAACACCCTTCCCTTTTCCGGGCTTTCATCCTCCCACCAGCTGGGAGGATGCTGCGGACGAGATCCTGGCGCTGGGTCACAGCCCCTTTGGCTCCGTCTTCTCCGGCGGCAACGAGGGGATCATCCGGCCCCTCGATTTTCAGCCCCCGAATCGACCATACTTTGTGTGTGGTTGACCAAGGCGGTGGTTGCAGTGTTTGGTTGTAGCCAAAGCCACTGCAAGTTATGGGGCTTTGCTGGTTCGCCCATGGTTTTTCAGAAATTTGGGTTTTAGGCTTCAGGGTCGCTGTTTTTCTTCACCGGAAGCCTTTGTCAAGTTTGGTGAAGTAATGGGAAGCAGAAAGGAAGCACGCCTTGGCTGATTTTGGAGAATCAACCTTAGGAATGTGGGGCAATAACTCCCGAGTTGCTAGTCGCCACGGATGCTAGCTTGAATTCGCCAGCCAAAATCAGCCCAAAGCCGTCAAACAACCCGGGGTCTCGAAAATATGTGCTTGTGCGGTTTAGACAACACCCATTGGGGCCACGCTGCGTTCCTTTTGGCAGGGAGACTCGATTCAGGCAGTATCTCGGGAACCTCCCATACCCTTAGGGGTCCATGATATGTTCAGAGTCTGTTACCGAAATCCGCACCCTTGAGGCGCTTCTGTCAGGTCTAGTTCACTCATCTGGGAGCTTCTCAAAATGGCGGGGGCCTAATCCTAAACAACTTGGAACCCTGGGGAAATGGCTGGTTTTCGAAAAGAACGATGGCTGAAAAGAATGGAATTGGAATCAACCCCTAGAGGGAACCCTGCAAGTTCTCATCCTAAACAACTTGGAACCTGGAAGCCCCACAAGTTCCTGGACCCAAAGCCTCGACTTATGGCCTAGTGCCAAGGTGCCGAGGTGCACAGGTGCCACGGCTGGCCTGCGGGTTTCTTAGAACCCCGCGACCCCAACCCAAACCTGTGTGGTGGCGTGGACTGTCCTTGCTGCTTTTTGGATCCCTTGCGTAATTGTTGGGAGCCAGTGAGAAACCTTGCAGGGTAAATCTAGTTGGACGGGTTTCCTGGATGAGGAAATCACCATCAACTCCGCTAAACAACATCACCTAGTTTCTGACTTTGACAATGCCAGTTGGTGGGCGCTTGATGACCGGTTCAACACATGGCCCCGATTTCCTTTCGGTTGTCCTAGCAAGACAAGCAAACCTTTTTTACCCTAAAGGAGCACCGGACAGTATTCCCAGGATGTCGGTTTTGGGTGGTCCATTCGCTGTCGGTGTGCAGGTTGATAGGTTTCGGTTTTGGGTAGTCAGCAGTCACCTATAGCTTTGTTTTGAAGCATGCCAGAGGGAAACCACTTTGCCAGGAGGACCTATCTAGAGAGAACTATATTATTTGACAACACTATCCGCTTGGCACAACCCCAGATGGTGGTATACCCCGAAAAGGTGTTGGTTGCAGTTCTTACCATTTATACCATATAGTTCTGCCCTGTAGAAACTCTGTCCTACAAATATATACATATATATTTATATATTCCTTGTTCGGAGCTACTTTGCATTTGTCGTACACGCCCTAATTTGCCCTTCCGAACATGGAACCGGACAGGTCCCTTTGAAAAAAAGAGAAGAGAACACATGGTCCACACCAGGACTGTCAGGCTCCCAGTCAATGGGCCCAATCCGAGGCAGTGGAGCATCTGGGGCGGAAAGGTCTCGGAGGTGCGGCGGGGTTTGAACGGGTCGATGTTTTTGGTATGTGGGATTTGAGTATGTATTCCTGGCCCCCAAAAATTTGGCCATAAATAACTCAATTCCCATTCAAGTGGGACAGAGCATTTTTCTAGTGGTTTTCCCCAATCATCCCATGTGAAGGACCTTTTGATCAACCCCATGTGTTTGGGTTTTGGGTTCGGGGAGTTTGCTGTGTTTTGTTGTGTTTGTGCGCATGATGTTTGGTGTGTGTTTTTTTGAAATAGCCACGGACAGGATATACATGTTTGTTTTTTTCACGAGTGTCGTCGTACATGGAAAAGCTGGCCACCAATGTGAATTCCCAACCAACCTGCAAAGCCAACAGGAACAGGATCTGAAATCGATACTTTTGTAAGATTAGCCGTCGCTTTGGGCAAGGAACCTCACTGACGGGTTGTTTTTGCGACACGTGTCGGTTTCTTTCCTTAACTTTGGGGCAAGACTCGTGTGTGGGTGAAGCTGTTGTGGACGTCTCATATACACCGGATGGTGCGTTGGCCCATCTTCTTGGGGAGCTTTGATCAGTGCTCTCGTGTTCTGAGCCTAGCTGTTTGCTTGATTCTGTCCATGCTTATTTTTCTGGGCCTGCCAACAAACAGAAGCCAGTAAGTACCAGGGCTTTGGAAGTTGTTGTTTTTTTGGCGAACGACGCCCTTGTCCACTGGTATACTAGGGGAGCCTGCAACTTCTTTTGGTAGGTTGCGCGGGAGCCCCTCCTTAACACGACGGGGTTTTTAACACGATGGGCCAGCCCGGGGTTCCCAACTCAAGCGTTGGGGGCGGGGATCTTTCCGTAAGAGTTCCACTGAGGTCACACTGAGGTCGCCTATCAGCAAACCTGTTCAGTCAAGGACACTACCCGAAGGAACTCAGTCAAAGGGCTTAAACCTAATTCTAAGACCAAACATGCAATGATAGCACGAAAGCTGGTTTCCGGCTTTAAAGGCAAAATCATGTTGAAAGGGCATGCACGTGACATGAGGCGTTGTTGTTTGGCATTCTTGATCTAGAACACTCTTTGGATGTGTGGCTGTTGTGTATGCACCCCTACAAAATATCAAAAGAGTACTCAGACCGGACCAACAGGGCGAAGAGCAGGTGGAATCCACCAAAAGCGGAGTTCAAGCCACCTGCCAACAAAAGGATACTCTCTCACCAACAAACATGGAATTCTGCAGTTCCCTTTTGGAAGACATATTCTGAATAATACTTTCTCTTTTTTTTTTAGAAAGCAGCTATGTGCTTCCGTGTTTATTACGGGGGTAAAAGGGCTAAATGATTAGAATGAGGTACCCAAATTAAGTCACCGTGGGAAACAGGATAGTGATAGACAGTATTTAGCCTCATATACATATCTGCATATATATATATATATATATTATTATATAGACATACATAATATAATACCAGCACCTCCCCCAACATCTACTTTTGGACAGTTGGGATTTGAGACACGGAAAGAAGCTGCTGTTGGGACCCACATACATACCTGGGCTTAAGCTTGTTGGCCAGCTTGGATTCGTGTGTTTGGAAAAGATGAGTTTCACTGTGTGGCTTGCAGGGTCACTCCTGCGCCGCAAGATCAGGAGTGGCAAGTCCCGAGAAGACCTATACGTTCTTGTTGGCGCTTAGATTCCGTAACAAGGGAAGAGCTTTGCCCATTTTGGCGCAGCCGAAGAATCAGCGTAAGCTGTCGGAGAAGGGGAAGCGCGCTTAGCGTTCAAGAAGGGGAAGCGCGAGAAGGGCGAGGCTTGCAAGTTCAAGTGTCCGGTGCCTCAGGCGGCGGTGCCGGCAGCGTCGTCCAGCGCAAAAAAGCAAAGGCTATTCCCAAGGCGGCGGCAGAGACACATTGCAACGCCGGCCATCGCCGTCGGGCGTCCGCTTGCGGCGGAGAAGGATTGCCAGAAGTGGTCGGCGACGACCAGAGTGGCTCCTCCGGTTACCTCAAACGCGATGGCTCCGCAAAAGGCGACGACTGGCCGCAACTCCTTGGGCAAGAGCCTTCCGGCGGCACGCGCGGGCTCTGTCAGGCAGGTCGATCGCCGGCTGTTTTTTCGCGCGGGGCGGTCTGCCGGAATCGTGTTACAATGTTGTTGCGCGAGCCCGTGTCATGGGAAATCTGTTCATTCGCTGTTTGGCGTTCCGGTAGCCGGACTCTTCCGGTAGGCTCGGGGGTGCCACCACACAGTTTGGCCACGTGTGAACCCACACCCGGCCGCAACTGCCACTGCTGCTGCTGCCACTGTTGCCATTGCCACGCTGCTGCTGCTGCTGCTGCTGCTGCGGCTGCTGCTGTGTTTTCGAGTCTCCGGCTCTTTCCGCCAACCATACTCTTCTTCGACTACGGCTGGGTGAATTTCTGTAGACGGACTTTCCCGACAAGGTGCCCTGTAGGCGTGCTCCCTCAGGCGCACCTTTCTCTCCCGCACCCCGCGGTGCTGGCGGTGCTGCCGCTGCTGCTGCCGCCCACCGCCGCCGCCGCTGCTGCCGCTGCTGTTCCTGCTGTGCCTTTCTGTGTGTTTGTTTGTGTGTGTGTGTCTGTGTGTCTCTCTGTGTGTGTGTCTGTGTGTCTGTGTGTCTGTGTGTACTTGGAAGGACTTCAAGGGCCACGATGACGCCATCACCTGCTTCTCCACAGACGGGCACTTCCTTTTCTCAGGCGACCAATCGCCACGGGTTTCGTGGATCGGCTCGAGGAGAGGTCGGACGAAACCCTTCCCTTTAAAGCATTTGCCAGGACACCCAAAAGCCTTCAATAATGTCTTACAAAAACCAGCGACGCAACATGTACCGGGTTTTGGAGTCTGTAGGCACGTTGGAAAGGGGCACCGTGAAAAAATACCCAGAGTGGTGAGGCGATCTCAAGTTTCGGGAGAAAGGCGACTGAAACGCATGGGTCACAGGTGTCCTTTTTGGGTTAGTCTGGTTAGAACTATAGATTGGCTCAATGCCCCCCCATTTTCCAGGGTAATCTATGTTTCCAAAAGGTCACTTACGTTGTGGGTGTGTTGTTTTGTGGGTACCTTTTCTAATATGGGGGCGCAGCCTGAAAAGAAGACGCGCCACCCATAGCGCCATTGTGGGTCCCTGGGGGCCGAGGTCTCGGCCCTCCATCTCGAGCCCAAAGTCATCCCAAGTTTCGGAGTTGGGAGTATTTTACTGGCCCGGAGAAACATGTCTTTTGCAACTGCGCGAGGCAACAAGGAACCAAACCATGTGTATTGGCTGAAAAGTTTAGGTCGGTGTTTGGCCTACAGAACTTTGGGGGTGAAACGAGTTGCGATCTGCTTCGGATTTGTGGAATTTCGAGAACGGTAGGAATGAGGCCAATGGGGCCAATGGGGTGCCACTTTGTGGGGCTGGACGTTCTTGATGGCAAGGCATTTTTGTGATTCGTCCACGAGGGACCCTCATGGGACATGGGAAGTCCAATCCCGAAGTTGAAGTTGAGACTTGTGCGGCCCATGAAACCAGGAATGAGAGGTGCAGTCACTCACTTCCTGAGTTCTTGGACTTTAAACTTTTTTGGGAAGACCGTTTTAGTGGTCAGAACAAACGTGTGAAGATTTCGTCCCGAAACTTGCGTTGACATGAGTTTGTAACCACCCGGCCTTTCGGCCCAATTCGCCACCTGCCCAAAGGGCGGGACTTTCTTCTGAAACCTCGGCCGCGGCCTCGCCATCATGGCATGCGCAGCCTGAGCCACCTAGAGCCAGGCCAGTGGAAAACATCAGCCCGTTGACTTCGTGCGCAGCGGGGCGGAAGACCAACATCTTCAAGTTGGTAGCGGAGCCGCGATTCGCGGCTACCGTCATCTCCATCACACCAGAGCCCATCACGCACCTCACGCTCCCCTATGGCATCCTCAGCGAAGGGCACCAAGCCCGATGAGTCTGGCGGCACCGCCTCCGGCCACTCCAACGAAGTCGTCAGGGACAACTTCATCCCGGTCTTCGATGGGAGACCCAACAACTACAAGGAGTACCGAATGCGCATCATGCTCTACTACCGGAAGATGAGCCTTCAAAATCGCAAGAGCGAAGCCACCATCAACCTGCTCACCAGCCTCTCCGGCACGGCCTGGAAGAATGTGGAGCACATGGTCGACTCAGTCCCGGACGAGGAGGACGGCTTCGAGCAAGTGGTCGCTCAGCTCGACCTGGCCTTCAAGTATGACGACCGCGTCGAGATGCCCCGCACCTTCGAAAGGTTCTTCTACAACCTGAGCCGGAAGCCGCACCAGAACCTCCTCTCCTACTGCACCGAGCATCGCGAACATCTTCGAGAAGTCGAGCGCCACAAGGTCGTCATCCCTCCGGCGGTCAGCAGCTGGCTACTCCTACGCCGAGCCGGCCTTACGGCCGAGCAACGCCAGCTGGTCATGGGACAGGTTGGCAACGACTCCTCACTCGAGAAAATGGAGGGAGTGCTCTACTACCTCCTCGGCCAGGACTACACCGGAAAGGACAAGCACAACCACGCCCAACGCTGGGTTCCACAGCGCGGCCGTGGCCACTACCAATGGAACAACTACCGGAAGCCCGCCACGGCTCATTGGGCCTACGACGACGAGCTCTACTACGAGCACGACACCTACGGCGACGAGGAGGACGTCTACTGGGAGGACGAGGACAACATCACCTACCCCGACCAACCTACCGAAGAAGAACAACCACAAGATTTCAACGAAGAGATCTACTTCGACGAGGACCACGAGTACACCTACGACGAGGACGAAGAGGAGGCCTACGCCAAACATCACCTACCCCGACCAACCTACCGAAGAAGAACAACCACAAGATTTCAACGAAGAGATCTACTTCGACGAGGACCACGAGTACACCTACGACGAGGACGAAGAGGAGGCCTACGCCACCTACATCGATGTCCGCAAGAAGCTTGCGGAACATCGCAGCGCTCGAGGGTACTACCCGGTGGTCGCTCTCACCGACACCAACGCCCTGCCCGTCACCTCCACCTCATCATCCCTACCATCATATGGCGGCAGAGGAAAATCCTCGAAGGGCAAGCACTCCAAGAGCAAGGGCAAGGGAGCCGGAGGCCGGCCACCACAGAAGGGATCTGCATCACAACGTGCTCGTGATGCCCTTCCACCTGGCACCAAATGTCTTCGGTGTGGCCAACCGGGCCACTGGGCAGCTCAGTGCCCACAGAACTCCCAGCCGAACTCTCCAAACAAGCGGCCGAAACCGGCCGACAGCATGGTTGCCCAAGAGGAGACCGCCTACCTCGAGGACCACGTCGATCAGCCCTACATCACCGGCATGCAGGACGGCGGAGCTTCCAGTGTCCTATGTGGACATGACGTCCTGATGCAACTCCTCACCAAGCTCTACCACAAGGGCCTCCCCCTCGACGAAGTCCAGTTCAGCCGGACCAACAAGAGTTTTCGGTTTGGGGGAGACAACAGCAGCATCTCCACCTGGTCTGTGCACCTCCCGGTGTTCATGGCCGGCTACAAAGGCCGCATCCAGACCTTCATCGTGGAAGGAGGCACACCCCTCCTAATCGGACGCCCGGTCCTGGAAGCCCTCAAGGTCAAGATCGACTACGACAAGCAGTCCTGCAGTGTCCTCAATGAGCCCTGGCAGCCTGCCACAAAAGGGCCCATGGGCGAGTACCTGCTTCGCCTCGACGACGGCATCGAGGACGCCATCCACCACGACCTCATCTTTGACTACATGACCAACGACGTAGTCACGGACGTGCACCAGCACCTACTCCAGCTCTACACCCTGGAGGACTACATCCTGGACACGACCCATCCTACCTGAAATCGCCCAACACGTTGATTGCACTACGACTGATAACCTGCCCACCGATGACGCTCCGGACCACAACCTCCATGAGGGCGTCACAGAGCCGGTACTCGGCGACATCCCCAACAAAATCTGGCGCAGCTTTGATGTTGCTCTTGCAACATGGCACAACCACGTCAACTTCCACCTCAACCAAGCCATCAAGCACAAGCCGGACGGCAAGAAGGTCTTCTGGGAAGTCTACGCCGGGGAGGGAAATCTCTCTCGGGCCATGGCTGATCGCGGCTGGATCGTCCGCACCTTCGACCTCCCGGAGTGGGACTTCACGAAGTCCAACTGCACCAAAGCCTTCTACCAGTTGCTCGATGAGGAGCTCCCGGATGCGGTCTGGCTCGCGCCACCTTGCAAGAAGTGGTCTCGCATGCAGAACATCAATCAGAGGACCGCTGAACAAACCGAGCTGCTGCACCTGGACCGCGCCTATGAGCACACGACCAACCTGAAGTTCACTCGCCGTGTGTACCTCTGCCAACAGCGCGGCGGGCGGCAAGCCTACATCGAGCAAGCCCCTTTGGTCCCTGGCGTGGAACACCACTGCCTTCCAACTGGACGGCCATCGCGCCATCTTTGATCAGTGTGCCTACGGTGCGGGTTTCTGGACCTCAGCCACTGTCTGGAACAACATCCGCAAGCCGACAGCCGTGCTCTCCACGGAGCCGATCTTCGCCGAGATCCTGAGCCTCAAATGCCCTGGCAACCACACGCATGTACATCTACAAGGCCACTGCCCCGGGATCGGAAGCCTCACCACGGCTGCTGCCGCGTACCAGCCAAGCATGTGCGAAGCTATCAGCGACGCCATCTGCACCAGCACTGAACAGTGCAAGGAACACACCTATGTCCAGAACGAGAACCCCGAGGCTCCTCCTGAACCTGGCCATGATCCGGATGAAGCTCATGGTCACGAACAGCACCTCAACCCGGCCGGCATCCTCCAGAAGATCCGACACGACAACCCGGTTGAAAGCCAGCGCCTGGTAGCCAGATTGCACAGGAACCTCGGACATCCTACTCAAGCCGAGCTCCTGCGACTCCTTGAAGCCAGAGGAGCATCCGAGGCCGTCATCCTTGCGGTGAAGGACTACCACTGTGAACTTTGCCATCGCTATGCCAAGCCGGTGCAGACACCAAAATCCACCACTCGGACCGCCTTCGTGTTCAACCAGCGCCTACAGGCCGACACCCTGTGGATCCAAGTTCAAGGAAAACCAGTACCGGTGCTCACCATGCTGGACGCTGCCACCCGGTACATGTCTGCCCGAGTTCTTCCAGCAGAAACCAGCCAGGAATTCCTCAATGCTGTGCAGCGAGGTTGGGTACGAACCTTCGGACCCCCTCAACAACTTCAAGTTGATTCACATCGGGGATGGTGCGCTGACCTCGTCCGGCAATGGACTGGCGAACACTCCGTCGAGCTGATCATCAGCCCTGGGGAGGCGCACGAGCGCCTGAGTCTCCTCGAAAGGAGACACCAAGTCCTTCGCCGGGCCATCGACATTTTCATTGCCGAAACCGGCCGAGATAGCATCGAAGGCCTCAAGGACGCTCTCGACTTCACCATCCCGGCCCTCAACCGCATGTCCACCTACAAAGGCTTCACCCCGAGCCAATGGGTACTCGGCTACCAGCCTCACCTTCCTGGCCAACTCGTTGAAGAAGGCCTCAACCCGACACAACTTCAACCATCAGAGAAATTCCATGAAAAGCTACAACTACAGCTCAAAGCGAGTCAAGCCATCCTCGCCGCCGATGCCGACGCCCGACTCCGACGAGCCCTTCTCCGACAGTATCGCGGCAACTCCGAGCCCCTCACCATCGG